ACACCACCACACACACACACACACACACACACACACACACACACACACACACACACAACCTACAAAAGAAGTGCTACATATGACTCACTTGATATCGAGGGAAGCCCTGCCCTTCTTAATGGGAGTGTTCCTCATTTGTATGAGGTTCTGAACTGAAATAGCTATCTTAAGGATCATTTGGTGCCGTTCACGGTCCTGCCCTTCTCAAAACTAAAACGGCGCTAGTTTCTGAGCTGCACGCCCGCGAAGATGTGCAGACTATTTCGAGGAGACTACTTTACGCTCACCCAGGCACCGGTGAGGTCATAATAAGGTTTTTTTTCTTCAAATTATGTCATTCAATTAGCCATACGGTGATCAAATATGACCTTTGGTTCGTTCATATCTGGCATTCACGAGCACGATTTCCGGATGAAAAGGCCGTCAGTTAGCTCTCAATTAATGTTGTGCAAGGTATGATGACGCTATCAAACAATGACGTATTGAGGAGTATATTTACTAAGCAGAGAGACTGTGTTGCCTAGAGCAGCCTTTTACAACTAGAAATATACCAATAGTAATAAGTGGGCTTACTACATCATCCATGGTGCGTGATTCAATATCATCAAATGTCAAACATTACCCTTAATGTACATGGCTCATTAGGGTCGATTATATGAATGTGATTAGTGCCTTAATGTGCCTTTGATTTATGCTAACTCGGAATCGCTTACATGTACGAGTGATGCCCGACGCGCAATGCGCGATTCCCGTTTGATTGAAATCGTTTTCATCCATGAGTGATGTATGATATGTGATGTCCGTTTAAATAAAATCGCTTGCATTTATGACGCGTCATGAGTGATGTCCGGTTTCTTGAACTCGTTTGCATCTATGCGCGTGTTCGCGCATTATTATTCCTAGTTGGATATACCCCGTGTTGTGGTTACGGCTGGAAATTGCCCCTTGCTTAGGCCCCTAAATATTGGTGACTTGTAAATCCTGGCTCGCTATTCTAAAGAAGAGATAACAAATCGGGTAGAATCGACGGACAATTTTGAATTTACGGCTGATACTCGTTTTGATAAAGGCATGTGGCCAAAATATCAACACATTGTCCCTCCTTGTCCCAGGTACGTTCCGAGGATGAGGCCAACAGTGCTGTCCTACCTATATGCATTGATGTTCCTCGCAAGAGCTCTTAATAACTGAAAACCTATTTTATCCTTGTAAGAAATCACGTGGCATACTGTTCCCAAGTCTCAAATTTCCAGTCCGCTCGAGATCGAATGATATAGAGACGATCCAGAGGCAAGCCACTAAAATGGTAACGGGCTGATAATCATAATGGCCTTATTCATCATTCAGACTGAGTTCGGCTAATTTACACTCCCTGCAACATCGATGGCCGAGAAGTGCCACGATTCAAGGGTTCAGGATGATTCATTGCTAAGATACGACCAACAACAACACTTTTACAACATGGTGAGGAGCAAAATAAGAATACAGGACTTTTCAACTAAAGCACAGAAGGTGCATGACAAACTTTAATTCAGCGGTTCAGGGTTGTTTGAACTTTGATACAAGTTTCTTCCTGAAGTTGCGTAATGTCCTCTCCCCTCATTTAAAGCACCTCTTGATCGGCAGTTTGGCGAAAGGAACGTTATTTTCAAGTGTAGTAGATTGTAACTGTTTTTGCCCTCACATTAAAAACCAATGCTTGAGAGAAAAAAGGATAAATGCGCTTGACGTTTCGGTTCCATCCCAGTACAGCCGCTAATGACTGTGTTCCATGCGCTTGTCATGTCGATCGTAGCAAGCTTCTTCTTGCATGATCTTAGCGTCGTGGTGTCATGCGTTGCCACTAAGCTGTCCCATTGCCTACTCATCACCCAACTTTGTTTATACTCTTAATTTACTCATGTACATGCGTCATGTGATATCTATGTCATTACATGCACCTGATGCATGCAAGTGTCTTGTCACATGATGTCCCATGTGGCTTTTTGTTCAGGAAAGTATATGTTCAGCACGGCTAGAGGCTGTAGTGTTGAGGCTAGGTTTGCTTTCATACCACCGCCACCACCTACGTGTTGTTTGTGTACCACAAACACCTTTGTTTTGACAAACATGCGGCGCCCACGAGGCGTTTGCTTCATCATACCGCCACTACGACGGCCACCTCTGTCGATCGCCAGAAGCTCCACGGTTACGTAAAAGCGTCTTTCGTGCGATCCAAACGCGCAAACCTGGCCACTCGCACGCCCGAAAAGCTCAGCTCACGCGAGATGCCATCTCTTTAGACCGCCGCCATCTTCGATATATATCCCGGCAATCAAAGTATATGAGCCTGTTAAAATGTGTTCAAACGCCGTTTTAAACCAGCCTCGGCAGCTCGAGACGGACGCCAGCGAGCCCCGAGGACATGATAGCGACGACGGTTATCTGAATTGGGAACGAGTGGGGGGGCTAGGACGAAGAAAGGTCGGTGCAGTCGGCCTACGGAGGCAGGGCGATGCGGACAGGTGAGCAACCGCCGGCGGGGAGTGGTGGAGCGATTAAGTCAAGACCTGAATCGACCTTTAAAAGTTACTAAACAACGACATTGTTTTCAAATTGCTATCCTCAGTCGTGGTTCTTCTTGCTTAACAACATCCTATTAGTTACTAAACTTACAGCTGTTTTAGATGGCGAAAACAACAATATGTTTTCAAGGCCGTAGCGTTCAGAAGCGTCGTTTACTGATGAATGCACGCATGTACCATGAACGCTAACATTCCGTCGTATATTTTAAGTTAAAACATCACTGCCAGTTCCTGATCTTTGCGTAAACAGCTGCTTTTGCGACCTCATGTCCTCTGAAAATAGTTCGATTGAAGTCGTATGCGTCAAGCTCTAGATTCGTAAAGCATTATTAGTCTCAAGTCTCCTACCAGGATATACGGATATCAGGCCCAAGAACCATTTATGACATTTAACTGTCTGGTTTGATGGATTGAGGGTCTCCCAATTTTCGTGCCAGATGACGTATGTAAACCCTGTCATGTGATTGTCGTAACCTTAAGAGGCAAAATGCTACACACGAGTATCGTTACTAGGGCATATGGACTCAGGGATCCTCACGGGGTGAAGGTTTACTCTATGTCTTTTTTCAACGCACATTGATTCATGCGACAGCCAGCATGCTGCCTGTCTCTCTGCCGACTCAAGGTTCATGACATGAAAGTGAATAGCGAAGGGCAACAACATAGCGTACGACTAAGTCGCTGCATGACAAGAAACAACTACACAATGTCCATCACTACCATGATTAATACCTCAGAACACGTATCAGATAGCATCAGAAAAATCAGTTTGCTATAAATTATATATATATATATATATATATATATATATATATATATATATATTATATATACCTTTCCGATATGCACATCATGGCTAGAAAAGTCATCCTTTATGAAACACTGGCAACTGACTGACTTGATATTGGTAAAAATAAAACCACCTGACCAAAAATTACGGTCCACGTCTCCGTAAATGCGCGGTGGTATCGCGCGAGTTCGGGTACAACAGCGTAAATCACCAGGTGACGGTTTTTAAAAGTAGTGAAACCACATGTACCTGGAGGCATTAGCCAAAGACCGGCCGTCATGTAATGAGTGTGAGACACCATATCTCCAAACAACAGAGAAGCATAGCACGACCAGTTGCCTACGTTCGATCATACCGCAGCGTACTGTGTCCCACACAAAAGCAGCACAACCATATGCACAGCAGCAGCAGCAGCAGCACAACCCTGTGGACAGGCCGACAGCGAAATCCATCTTGCTGGAGGCTATGTATTGACTGGCCTCGTGCATCAGAGCACTGGTGAGTTCCCCACGCTGCCAGCGCGTTGGCGCGTCCGTTTCCAGAGAGCTGGCAAGCCCTCCCACGTCACCAGAGCGCTGACAGGTCCTTCCACGTCGCCAGAGACCCGACAAGTCTTCCCACGTCACTAGAGCGGTGACGAGTCCTCCCACATCAGCAAAGCGCTGACGCGTCCTCCCATGCTACCAAAGCGCTGACGAGTCCTCCCGCGTCACCAGAGCGGTGACGAGTCCTCCCTCGTCACCAGAGCGGTTTACGAGTCCTCCAACATCAGCAAAGCGCTGGCGCGTCCTCCCACGTCACCAGAGCGCTGACAAGTCCCTTCCACGTCACCAGAGCGGTGACGAGTCCTCCCACGTCACGGAAGCGCTTAAAAGTCCTCCCGCGTCACCAGAACGCTCACGAGTCCTCCCACGTCACCAGAGTACTGACGAGTTCCCCACGTCACCAGAGCGCTGACAAGTCCTTCCACGTCACCAGAGTGGTGACGAGTCCTCCCACATCAGCCAAAGCGCTGACGCGTCCTCCCATGTTACCAGAGCGCTGGCGAGTCCTCTCACGCCACCAGAGCGCTGACAAGTCCTCCCTCGTCACCAGAGCGGCGACAAGTCCTCCCACATCACCAAGCGCTGGCGAGTCCTCCCACGCCACCAGAGCGCTGACAAGTCCTCCATGATCCCAGAAGCGGCGACAAGTCCCTCCCACACCACCAAAGCGCTGACGGGTCCTCCCACGTCACCAGAACACGGCCCGGCTCCTCTCACGTCGCCCGGCGTCGTCTGTCGCAGCGGCCATGCGGTCTCTGGGTGCTCTGCTGGCGGTGCTGGGCTGCGCGGCGGCGTTCGGGCCGGCGGGGCGGCTCGAGCTGGAGGACCCGATCGACTCCACCGACGCGGCCGACTGGCCGAGCCGCGCCCCGCAGGACATGTGGCCGTCGCACCGAACGCGACTGGACGCCGACGCAGACAGTGCAGCTGACGGACGGCAACGTCACCGGCGCCGTGCTCGCCATCGGAGGCGGTCGCAACACGTTCGCCTACGAGGGCGTGCCGTTCGCCGAGCCCCCCGTTGGTGACCTTCGGTTCCGAGTGAGGGGCGGACCGCGCTGGACAGGGAATCGGCGCTTGGCAACAGAGGGGAGAACGGGGATGCTGATGGTCTGCGACTGACATGAGGTCACACGGTTTTGCGTTCAGGACTGCTAGATCAAACGGGGAAAAACAGGAGAGCGGCACCAACTAAGGCCAGTGGACAGTTAATTTGTCTCTTTTCATCATTGAGTGTCGGATGATTGGTGTTATAAGCTTGGTAGCCTTCAGGGTTTGATGTTTCCTCCGTTCTTGACTAAAAGTGTTGAGTTCCGCTCCACACATCCCCTGGGGCATGGGTTCATGTTCCCCAGCCAATGTTATCACCAGCTAACCTCTGGTCGTTCTCAGAGATTCATGTAACTTGTGGCAGTCCGAGTTATTTACGCTCAGAGCATACTGTTGCCAGCCCACCAAAGTGCAGGGCCACCCGGCTGAGCCAAACCTGAGCGGGTCCCCTCACCGGGGCGCGCCTGAGCCGGGCTGGCTGACAGGTGCGGTGCCGCTCTCGCAGTACCCGGTGAAGAATCAGCCGTATGGGGCGCTGAACGCCACCTTCCCGCCGCCCGCGTGCGCCCAGTCCGGGATTCAGGGTCCCGGCAGTGAGGACTGCCTCTACCTGAGCGTCTTCACCACACAAGGTGAGCATGACGTCACGTACGAAATTTGGGCAACCGCGGCTCACGGATGGTGTGACCATATATGTCAAGTTGCAAAAGTATCAAAGCATGACTTATAGTGTTTAAATTAAGATGATGTGTGGCCACAAAATGCTGGTGAACTGGACCTAAAGGCAATGCCATACGTGTGGCATAAAGTAGCAGTGCCAAAGTCTCCGCAACGCAAGCGCCTTTCCATACTTACAGTATCCTTATTTCACATCAACCTTTAGAGAAGGTGAAAATCCGGGATACCATTTTTGGGCTTTTGATAAGGTTTTTTTGATGAATCGTGCATCGGATGCACATACACAGCCTTGGATCAGATCGAGCCGAATTCTGCGCAACCGCTCTTAATTTCTCTCAAAGTTAACGTGAGTGCTTACCCACCTTAAGAATCTGATTCAAAATTGATCCACGATGTGCAGGCTCTGGGTATGACCGCTGACGCGTCAAGACTTGACGCATCAACTATGAAGTTGACGCGTCAAGACTTGGACGCGTCAAGTATGAAGTATGAAGTTGACGCGTCAAGACTTGACGCATTGAAGTATGAAGTATGAAGTTGACGCGTCAAGGTCCAATTATCTTTTTTGTTGCTGGTCAGTATTCCAAATCCACCCAGTTTGACGCTTTGCCATGACACGTCACATATTGGGGTAGAAAGCAAGCCTGAGGTTTGATCGTTCTCTTTAGAATCAGTATGACCTCAAGCCAGAACTATGACCTCCAACGACGACGTTGGTGTGTTAGCCTATTGTTAGTTTTTGAAGCCTTTAGAGGCCTGTCGCAGCAGGTGGCAACCCGGGACCAGGTCGACTGAACTTCCAAACAGGGCTCATTTCAACTGAGTAATTAAATTTCAACATAACTGCCCGAAACTATTCGTGGTTCCGACATCACCGGCACGACGTTTGTAACTCTTGTGAATGCGTTCTGCACGAAAAGACGGCCTTTTTTATCTATAACGGCACAGTCCACAGCCTCGTCACCCATTTTGACCTTGCGTGGTGGTAACATCGTGCTGTCTTCAGCTCCGAACGCCACCCACAACCCCATGATGCCAGTGATGGTGTTCATCTATGGCGGTGCCTTCACAAGCGGAGGCTCTTCGCTGTACTACCCCAACAGGCTGCAGAAGAACAAGGACGTGGTGCTGGTCGTGCCGCACTACCGCCTCGGCGTCATAGGTGAGCTTCACTGCAGGCGAGCAGGGACAGGAAGGAGTCCACGATTCCGTCCGTCGCGTATCCCGCCACAGGAGTCCACGACTCCGTCCGTCGTCCCGTCACGGGAGTCCACGACTCCGTCCGTCGCATATCCCGTCACGGGAGTCCACGACTCCGTCCGTCGTATCCCGTCACGGGAGTCCACGACTCCGTCCGTCGCTATCCCGTCACGGAGTCCACGACTCCGTCCGTCGCATATCCCGTCACAGGAGTCCGCGACTCCGTCCGTCGCATATCCCGTCACAGGAGTCCGACTCCGTCCGTCGCGTATCCCGTCACAGGAGTCCACGACTCCGTCCGTCGCATATCCCGTCACAGGAGTCCGCGACTCCGTCCCGTCACAGGAGTCCACGACTCCGTCCGTCGCATATCCTGTCACGGGAGACCGTGTGGACTTCGCAAAGCAGGCAGCCACTCCGCCCGGTCAAAAAGCCGACCGGTGGCTGCGGGCAATGTGCCTCAGTCAGCGTCTCTGTCAGTCGTGATAGTGTGCCCCCGCCAGTGCAGTTTCATACTAGGCCAACTGTATGATGTGCGTATTAGCGTTACTCTGGCGGGCTCGGGGCCGTCACCTGAACCCGTCGACGCCCGCGTCGAGGATCGGCAGGGTGTCGCGCTGACCCGGGTCCCGGCCGCTCGCGCAGCAGCGCCTCGTGACGGCCCTGTGCCCTCCGTCCGCCGGCCGGCAGGGTTCTTCACCACGCTGACGGACGACGCGCCGGGGAACGCGGGCCTGATGGACCAGGTGATGGGCGCTGCAGGGTGCAGGACAACATCAAGCAGTTCGGCGGCGCCCCCGGACGGTGTCACGGTGTTCGGCGAGAGTGCCGGCGGCGCCAGCGTGTCGCTGCTGCTAGCGTCCCCGCTTGCTGCCGGTTTAGTGCCCCCAGCTAGCCAGTCAGCCAGCCAGCCAGTGTCCTCAGCCAGACTCGACAGACTGTTCCACCAGGTAGCCAGTGCCACCAGTCAGATAGGCAGTGCCCCAGCCAGCCAGCCAGTACCCCCAGTCAGCTAGACTGCTCCCCCCACTTCAGCTAGGTAGTGCCTCAGCCTGCCAGCCAGCCATACAGTGCTCTAGCCAGCCAGCCATACAGTGCCCCCAGTCAGCTAGACTGCTCCCCCACTCAGCTAATTAGTGCCCTCAGTCGGCCAGCCAGCCATACAGTTGCTCCAGCCAGCCAGCCAATGCCATCTGGTTCGGGAGGGCGTTCAGCCCAACGCTGAACCATTCTCACCTGTCTCTGATTCCAAATTCGCGGCATTGATTGCGCTTATGATATAACCGACCAATCAATGGTTTTCCGCAACGAAAAAAATCACGAAATACGACTGCCTAAAATCTGGTGCCCATTAGACGAGCACTGAGACTTCTTGGCTGCGGTGTCTGTCCCGCAGCTGGCAGTGGCTTATTTAACCTACGTGCATGACATGGCAAGCCCACTTCTCGCCCGTACTGTGGCCGACATTGCTATGATGGGCGTGGATTCAGGTGTGTATTGTCAGAAAGTTCAGCGCTGACTGTGTCACCCGCACGGCAATGCATGCAGCCGTCTGTTTTCTGCGCCTGGCTAAAAAAAACTGCAGACAACCCAAGAGGCGTACGTTCGGAAATTGGCGACAGACGCTGCCATGTGCTGCACTAGCCATTTCTACGCGTCAGAGTTGGCAAAAACTTGTAACTCCGAAACCACTTTGGAAAGGAAACTAGCGAGGACCGAGACACAATACGACCACCTCTACGTTAGACGTCATGGGTGTGAGCTTTCATGCTCAACCACTTAAAAGGAACCATTTTCAGTTTCGGAGACACGGACATTGAACCTAGTGACAGATTCCAATAGCAGCGCCAGCTTACCCCGGACAACTAAACCTTCTGCCTCAAGCAGTCTCCAAAATCTAAACAGTCTCACTGAGCGAGTGAACATCAGAACGTAAGCTCCACGTGATAGCCTTTCCGACATTACAGTCACCACCACCTTACTTCCTTGCGGTTTTCAGCTGCGATTAGAAAATTGGCTGAAGCAACTCATTTGAAATGATTTTCCACAGAATGCCGCATGTTATCATCTTTCAGTCTTGGGGCGCAATCCACAAGTCATTACCATGAAGTGATATAAAAAAGCACGATGAGTATTTCAGCCGTGTCGCAACGCTTCAAGTGAATGTACGCTCGCCAAGCAGCCAAGTGAAGTTTTTGTCACGTGCGATGCACTTGTATTGATGAATTTTTTAGGGGTACGGTACTGAAACCTATCGGAAGGTACGATATTGCAACTCAGTGACGGTGCGCGAAAGCAGGCTGGCCGTGAAGTGCCGAAGCCACGGACCCGGTCTGACTGGGCTGCTGGTCTGCCGCCAGGTCTGTTTCATCAGGCCATCGCCGAGTCTGGCTCAGCGCTCGCCGACTGGGCGTACAACGACAACCCACTGCTGACAAGCGAACAGATGGCCGACCGGATCAACTGCACCTTCCGGCCCTTCGACCAGCTGCTGCAGTGCATGCGAAATGTTCCCGCCAAGGACCTGGTGCAGCTCACCGACGACTTCACGGTGAGCTTGGCCGATATGGACAGCCGCCAGCCAGCTGTGTCCCCCCCCCTTCCGCCCACTTCACCGGTATCTGCTTCTAAAATTTATTGAGTTACCGGTATAGCGGAAGTGAAAAGGCGAAACTCGTCGTGCTTCTGACTGAGCGGTGCCCCCCCCCCCCTCCCGCCAACAAAGGCCCACAGGGTCACTTCCTCGGATCGGTCTGTCAGTGGTGCTTGCTTAAGTGGCGCCATCTGTGGGTGATGTGTACAGTGAAGGTACGCTTCATGGTACGACGGCAAACACCTAGTGTCATTTGTGGGAGAGCTTTGTGGTCGCATTAACACAATGCCGCCTGCCAGTGGTCGGCGAGAGGATACCCACCCAGCGCCATCTGTGCACTGACCGAGTGGATCTGTTTCAGAGCGCTGAACGACTGGTGGCGCGCAACGGCTTCGACGGAGTGAACCCGGTAGTCCAGCCATCGACGTTAACCGTGCCGATCCTGCTGCCCAAAGACCCGCTCGCGATATTCGAGGAGGGTACTTACAACAAGGTGCCCACTATGCAGGGCTGCAACAAGAACGAGGGCTCATTTGTGTTCGGACGTAAGTGGTTCGTAAACCAGTGGTGTTTTTTGGTGGGCCAATAAGCTCCATGGAGCGCCGAATTGAATGCTCTCCACCTCTGTTCACTGCTATTTCGGGTGTTTTCTCTTTCCTTATGTTTGCACCCGAGTTCAGTTTTCGTATGTGGATGACCCCCATACCAAATGGCTCGGCCACGCTCAGAAGTGGTCACACGTCACCTGCGATGTGTTCTAGGGGAGTGAGCGTGACCGGTTAATTTGGATGACCGAAACAACAGAAGGGAACAGAACATCTGAACGAATTTCTACCTTAACCTTTTTCTCAACACCTGTTTTGACCGACCGAATGGACCGAATGTTTTGCGGTATTGCCTTTGCGATTGGAGTTTCTACTGAACGTAGTTTGTCGCTAAAAATCCATCTTCACTATCCCAGCAAAGAAATTAAAACTTAGCGACACATTTTTGGTGAAAAGTTTGGACGTACCAGGTAACGCCGTGGCCCGGCCGCTCGGTTCAAGCTGGGTCTCTTGACCCCTGACTCATCGCTCGTCTGACCTGTCACGTACGCCCGGCTTCCAACCCCCGATCACAAGCGCTTACAGCACATTGGTTACATGGCATCGCATGAACCACGGGAATGTGTTTCGTAACCATCCATTCGTCTGTAATATGAAGCATCGTCCAACGGCGAGGTACTAATCGACCCCGTGCATTTTCAGTTATGTACAACGAGTACCTGAAGGTAAATAACCTCACCGACGACACCGACTTTCTGAAGAATGACTGCGTCAGAAAGATGCTAACAGCCTTCCGTGAGTTGATGCCCTCACATCCGGGATCTTGGCCGAGTGACGTCAGCATGACGTGGAGCTTTGAAAACGGTGTGAACGTTCGGTATGATATGTGTGAACTTGCTTGAAACTGCTACAAGCAGCCATGATCGAACCAATCTGTTGATATTGTTTGTAAAAGCTGTGCTCTGTTCCAGACGTCCTGGACCCCACCGATGGAGTAACAAAATCCATGATTGATCAATACTTCTACTACGTGGATAACTGGGACATCAACACCATGTACCCCGGTTTGGAGGATGTAAGACGAAGGGCAGACCGCTCCATGTCATCTCAGAACCCTCTGAATTGCTTCGTTTTGAGGGCGAGTAGCTCAGCGATGTCATGAGTCGGCCCGACTTGGTGACGACGCGGACTGCAGCGGGGAGGGCACCGGTCGATTACCGGACGAAGCCAGGGCCAGCTTCATGACCAGCGACCATCGTAATCGTTAGTTCACCACATATTTGCATGAGGGCTTGCGTCACGAACCTTTAAAAACTACCTTCAGTCTCCGGTCTGAACGAACCGCGGCTGATGGCAGGCATGTTAGCTGACGGCAGCTGCCGACTGTCGGTCCCGACCGCAGCGTGCTACTCCCAGCCAACTGACCAGGAGGCGACGACGGCCTGTTTCCCCACACAGATCCGCGCCGCTGACCTGTGACGAGCCGAGCGGTCCGGCCCCCGCCGGCCGGGCCGTCCCCTTTCCCCATCGCTTCACCAGACTGCCTCTCATCCCCAGCTGGCCGGCCCCGCCGGCCAGGCCGTCCCCTTTCCCAAGCGCCTCACCAGACCGCCGTTCGTCCCCGGCTGACCGGCCCCCGCCGGCCAAGCCGCTCCTGCCCAGCACCTCACCAGACCGCACCTCGTCCCCAGCTGACCGGCCCCGCCGGCCGGGCCGTCCCCTTTCCCAAGCGCCTCATCAGACCGCCTCTCGTCCCCAGCTGACTGGCCCCGCCGGCCGGGCCGTCCCCTTTCCCAAGCGCCTCACCAGACCGCCTCTCGTCTCCAGCTGACCGGCCCCGCCGGCCGAGCCGCCCCTCCCCAGCGCCTCACCAGACCGCCTCTCGTCCCCAGCTAACCGGCCCCGCCGGCCGGGCCGTCCCCCTTCCTCAGCGCCTCACCAGACCGCCTCTCGTCCCCAGCTAACCGGCCCCGCCGGCCGGGCCGTCCCCCTTCCTCAGCGCCTCACCAGACCGCGTCTCGTCCCCAGCTAACCGGCCCCGCCGGCCGAGCCGCTCCTTCCCAGCGCCTCACCAGACCGCCTCTCATCCCCAGCTGACCGGGCTGTTCGGCATGAAGGCGGGCGCCAAGAAGCAGGCCGACATGCTGGCCAGGGACGGCGTGGACTCGTGGCTGTACTCGTTCGAGTACCGCGGCCAGAAACAGCATACCATGGCGCGGCTCTTCTTCATCGGCAATAAGAAGCTTCCGTTCGACACAGGTCAGGGCTCCGCGGCGGCAACGCGACTGTGCTTGACGGCGGGCGGTGAGCCGTGCCGAACAACGTCATTGGAGCTCAGTACAACATGCTTGTGATACAGGCTACAGCGAGCTCAGTCAGCAAACACAGCGCACTCAGGAATAAACAATCACAGCGCACTCGGGAGCAAATAATCACAGCGTACCCCAGAACTTACAATCACAGCGCACTCAGGAACGACCGCAGCACACTCAGGAAACAAGCCAATTGCTGCCGATGGTCGACACAAGCGGTCTGCTAAGCCCGTCCACGCCATTGCGGCCCCAACCGCAGTGCACTGAACACGCGAGTTTGAGTTACAGGGGTGACTCACGCCAACGAGCTCATCTACCTCTTCCCCATCCCGCTGATGTCGACGCTGAACGCTGAGGAGACGCAAGTCAGCGACACGATGGTGGAGATGTGGACCAACTTCGCCTTTGAAGGGTACGTGCCGACTCACGAGAAGCCACGACCGTAAATGAGCCATTCGTTATCAGTTCAGGGGTAGTAAGACGTGTTATGAACGGCCTGCATTGTTCAGTGATCCAGGCAGTAAACCGTACATTACAATGAACTTGCACTGCCGAGGCTCTTCAAACATGCAAAGTAGAAAACCCAGTCATTTCAGAATGAACTTGCAATGCCCGATCCTTTCAAAACATGCACAGTGGAAAACGCAGTCGTTTCAATCAGGCGTTCAGATTCTGGACGATTCTGCATGGGTCAGCTCAATTTAAAAAAAGCGCTCCAACATGCACGAGTAACATGCAGAGCACAGAGCTGGAGGTCCGAATATCCAATACACCCGTCAACGCGGTTTTCCGCGACACGCTCTCGGCCCAAGCGCCTGCCTATAGCGACCAAGCGACTGTGGTCCGAGCAAATCCTTTTTGGCAAATGAGCTCACCGGGGTACACCCAGTAACAAAACAGTCACGGGATCATTTTGGCGCCAATTACCTTGGCATGCCAGCCTTCGTAAGGCAGCGCCGACAGGAGCGTCAATCGGGTCGATGTTGCCACATGTGCACTGCGTTCCTCTCGATATGCCACCTGCCTGACAGCACCGCCCCACAGGAACCCGACACCGCCCGGCTCTGGCCTCACGCACTGGCCGCCCGTCAGTGAGCACGGCTCCTACCTCCAAATCACCAGCACGCCCACCGTCAAGCACGACTACAGCCAGACCTTCATCATCAGCGTGCAGGATTACATCAACTCGACCGTCACCACGACGTCGCCGCCGACCACCACGCCGTCCGCGTCCACCACGCCGTCCGCGACCACCACGCCGTCCGCGTCCACCACACCGTCAGCGACCACCACGCCCCCGGCTCCTACCACCACAGGCGAGCCCACCACGAGCACAGAGTCCAACTGCCAGGAGCGTCTGGACAGCCTGGCCGACGAGCGTGACACGTTCCGCGGCGCCACCATCGGGCTGGCGGCGGTGGCCGGCGTGGCGGCGCTGCTCGCGCTGCTCATCGCCGCCGTGTTCGTCTCGCGCTCGCGGGCTCGCCTCGGGGCGCGCACGGGCTCCAGAGAGAATGTCGTCACGTGAGGAGCCGGTCGGCGGCCGCGAGAGCGCTCGCCGCTGGCGCTGATGACAGGCGGCTCCGGCCAGCTGACGACGCGGGCGCCACGATCGGAGGGCGGCTGGCCAGCCGATCGTCCTATCGGCGGAGCCGGGCCTGTCCAGACCGCAGGAGCAGGAGTGGTGCCTGAGTCCGTGCTTGCGGGGCAAGATAGTGCTGATTAGGCGACGGGACAGTCAACGTCTCGCGCCGCTTTGAGGTTTAACGTACCCACTTCTGCCAGTGCAAACCGACTTGCCGCACGATCGCGAAGCATCGGACAGCGTCCCTGGGGTCGATGCTCCATGCTAGCTGGTGGCAGGACGGCGGCGATGGAGCCCGACATCAATTGCACAACTCCCTGCGGCATAATGTCAACTCGCAATGTCAACTCATTGATTCCGACTAAGATGTGACTCGTGGAGCTCGCGAGCGAGCTGGACTGAGCCGAACGCCAGGAGCGTGAACAGTCGACGAATACCTGAACAACCACCGAAACCAACTGTGACCGAGAGACCGTGAATATACCATGGCAGAATATTGTGGGTTCGTGCCCGGTGTTCTAGAGACCCGGAGAAGACGGTACAAAATAGAGCCCTTCTGTGCCTCTCGGACATTCATTAATGATTGGGGGTTTAAGTCTCACCGACTGCCAGGCTTATTTCGAGACGTACGCTTGTACTACGGTGTTACGAGGGATGCGGTGGTGGCGCGGCAGGGGCCAGAACCCGAAACCTACAGGTCCGAAGCGCCCAGACTGCTAATCCACCATCGCTCCAATATCTTTCTAGATCGAACAAAGAGCAGCAACACTTGATTACCACTGCAGAGAAGTGCAGTTGACGTGATGCACAGAGAGGTCGCTGAGAAGCGCACGGACGCAGCGCCTACTCCACCACAAAAGCCGTCTCGCCGCCCGCAGCCCGATGTATTTCCCGTCTGCGCTGCGCCGGCTGCCTGGCGGACCCTCGGCAGGCAGTGGGCACAGCTGCCGAGAGCAGCGTCAGATCCAGGAGCGGGGGAGACCGATGGTAGTGAGGACGCTGTGAACCTGGACCGGCATTGGCCGCGCCAGCCCCTGCAGGCCATGGCCGACGAGGCTGACCAGTCGGGGCATGGGTCTGAGTCCAAGAGTCCGAGTCCGAGACCCAACGCTGACATGCGAGCCCGAGCTCGAGGTCCGAGTCCAGCCTTCCACCTGGTGAGTCCAGAGCCTAAGGTCTCTGGGATAGACCCGGAGTCCACGTGTTTCCACAGTATGCAGTCCGAGTCCAACTCCGACAAGCAATTTCACGTCGGCCGGTTGGGGTTAGCAGTCGCCAGGGTAGAGCGAACGCCGAGTACAAAGATAACGATAGGCTGCAACCCTTTCTAGATATGAAGTATCAGCCAGCCTAGCAACCCGTCACCAGACTCCCGGCCAAGTCCGTGTTTGAACAGCTGCCACTGCGTGGGCGTTTAGTCCCTACGAAATCTCTGGCCCGTGCTAATTGTAACGTAACTTAACCGCCTTTCTCAAATAGCTGAAGTTACTCATATCTGACCAAACGAAACCGCACTGATCCAACATGACCTGGCAATACCCGGCCAAATCCACCCCATAGTCGGTCGTCTAAAGTGACTCAGCGAGAGATTTTCTACAACGGAATGTGTCATAATTGAATATATTGAAGCAAGCTCACTTATAACTATTGGTGCCCTTGTTAAAAGGGAAAGACTGCTCTAGACAGCACAATTATCTGTTGATTAAATATGCTCATTAACACGTCATGGTTTCATTGTGTCGCCGTACCTTGCACAGCATTGACTGAGAGCCGATTGACAGCCTTTGTGTCTGGAAATCGTGTTCACGAGCGCGATATATAAACGCCTCAACAATTACTTTTTCTTAGTCTTGATCGTCGCATGGTTCATGGAGTGACAAAATTTGAATCACGTCACCATGACGTCATGAATACCAAAGTGACTTTGAAATGCTCTCTTCGAAATACTATCATTTGCACTGGCGCGTAGCCCAGAGAATAGAGGGGCTTAAGTATTAAGAAGTGCAGGGCTGTGCATTGCACCGAAAGGTCTTTAAGACGGCTACCTCAGTTCAAAACCCCATATGAACGTGGAACATTTCTTTAAATGCGGGACGGGGGCAGGTAGCCAATGCTAATGACGCAATCTTAAAACCAAATAGCTTTAAGGTTGGGGATGGGGGGTGGTACGAGCTCGTTGAGACGGATCGCCGAATTTTAACTTTCTTCCCAGTCATGCACAGCGAAAAAATGCAACCCTGAGGGGGGGGGGGGCACTCCCTTTGGCTGCACCCCTGGTGACCTATCCCATCCCACACTCCATTAACAAATCCGTCTCTTACATAGCATGTGCCTCGAGTTTTACTTCGATTCGTGTTGGCCGTGAGCCCTCGCCCGAGCATCCTAAAATCTAAGCACAGCTCTGGACCCTGACTTATATTCACTTAGACTCCAGCCCGGATTAAAATCCGGGTCCACTGTCTTTGAGCCTGAATACCAGTCTGATTTAGCCATGAGATGAATCGATTTGCCAGATTTCAAGTTCCGAAAGGTCGTGGATCGGGGCAAAAACTCTGGTCCAGGCCTTAAACCCACGCGCCTTCTGTTCCCACCGCAGCAATGTGAATTCAAAAGTAAGCAAAAACTACATTCCTCGATGTTTGGCCAGTATTGTTGGAAGGCCACTACACTCACTACACCCACACGCGTAGCGCGTAGTCTGTGCCGTCGGCCAAGAGCACGACTGCAGATGACGTGTCAAGACAATGCCGCTGGCAGAACACGCCGGTCGCCGATAACAACCGTTGCCCGCACGTCGCAACGACCGATCCATGCCGCGTACGCCAGCCTTCACATTCATACGGATTTTATTGACGGTTCACGATAGGAGATGACACATGGCGCGACGAACACCACAGCGAGGACATCACTGCTTCGGAGCCAGCGGTGGCCGGAGGGAGCGGTGCGCCGGTCCTCTGTCCTGAAGGCCCGCGGAAGCCCGGGGGACCCCTCACGCGCGGCGGCGGCGGCGGAGGCGGGGTCCGCCGGGAGCGTACTGTCTCACTGCCACAGTAAGCTGGAAGAAAGGCGTGGAGGTCAGCCAAGCGCAGGTCTGCACAAGTGGGTACACGATGCGCCTTGTTAGATCTGTGCGACGCAGATGATTGCAGCATAACCAGGAGGGTGTTACCAACCAGAGCCAGCCTAACACGGTTTTCACAGAAATTTCTCAAAGTCTGGACGCATCACGACCTTTAGCTCCTTTAAGCAACTGAATATTCTACACTTAACTTTTGCAAACGTCTGCAGATTATGTCTTTCACTGAGCATCGCGAGTGATGACACCTTTGGCGAGGTTATACAGGTCACGTTTCGCGACCACACGTGTGATTTAGTGCGTCTGTCAGGTGAGTTCTTAAGAACATTCCCGCACTGATTTGCTGTTTCTCATCAATGTACAAGAGACGACTGCAGATAATGCAATGGCCTGGTCAGCAGGGTCAAACTCACTCAAACGCACCAAGCAAAGTAACCTGCAGCACTTACGTTCTACCTTTCAAGACCTGGTTTGATCTCAGGTTACATTAACCCATGCTTGCAAAAAGCGCCAACCACCGTAAATTGTTTCACTATTGCGCCCAGCCTGGCTCTAGAGATAACTGGGTACAGTTGATACACACAATGCTCGACCCTACACATGATTTGACACCTCGCAGGTCACGTCGACCGATACGGTATCACTGATGCATGCTGAAACATGCTACGGGATTTGGATACAGTCGCCCATCGCTATAGCACGCAGTCCTGCAGATAAAGAAAGCGAAGGAGGGCATCAACGAATTTCACCACGCTAAGTTGCGTTATCATAGGTGGATGATTCAGGATGTTAAAGACATTGCAATACCAACGCTCTAATATCACAGAACGCAGTCCTTAAGATACAAGAGGCCTAAATCCATCCATGCTACTCCACTGAGGTGGTTTGGCCAATGAGATTTAGGTGGATCGGTATTCAATACCACCAATTTGATGTGGTTACAGCGAGCCAAGTGATCCCGCTTTCCGCTCGGCTCTCGCGGGATTATATTTCGGGATATCAGGGGGTTGGATCTGCCAGGCTTTCATCCCGTGAAAAGGAGAGACCGCCCGGAGGGGATCGTAAATGATGGGCCCCATCCGCCGCGTTTGTTGGACTCCACCCATCAACGGCCGCGTTTCGGTTCGATATTCCTACTTCAGAACTCCAATTTCACAGCCAATATGACCTATCATGAACTCCATATGAAATTCATTGATAGGTTAGCTTTCCTACAAGGTGAAAGTTTGCATGTTTAGCAGAGCCCCTTCACCTGTTGGGAATAACTTCATTGTTGTGCAACAATGATCACAACTGGCATACTGCAGAACATCCATCTATCCCCTTATTCTAAAAACGTCACATTTTCAAACATTTTAACTGGTGTCCATTCTGGCAACAGACAAATGCAAATAATAATAAAGTGATGAAAATACCTCAATGGTGTGATTTCAGGCATTCCTGGGTCAGCTCCTTTCTTGAAGCCTGGAACAGACACATGGTAAAAGCTTTAGTTTCCTGCTGGTTACCAACTGTTTTTTTCTTGGCTTGACTCCAAAATTTCAGTGGACAAGGGCACCAAGAAGGGCATGATTTGGCTCTCAACATGACCTTCCAAGCCTTGCATTGTCATCTCCATTCCTTCCTTTTTGCATGTACATGATTACTACATCAGCAATACTGTTCCCACCAAAAATAAGGAAATACAATTTTCCTGTTTTCATGTTACAAGCCAGCAGTACAAACTGTTGTCATTTACAATCACCAGTTTGCCAATGAGCCAGGACTTGTACACATATGTGCCACTGGGGTTTTAAAACACACTCAGCTTCAGCTGCCGAGGCTATGTGGCGTTGCCTGCCTCTCGCCCTGGCTGGAAGGGTGGGCTCTGCAGGGAAACCCAGCACTTCTGATTTCCCAGACATGCAGTGGTTAATGCAGGGGCATTAGCCACTACACAATGCCCATCAGGGATTGTTTTCTTCACATCATATGCCCATCAGTCTTCACAGCAAAAAGATCCTTCCCTCCCAGGCAGAACACCTCCTAGCGGACTGCAATGCCAAAAATACACATTACAAAGAGCTTGTCCCACAGAGGTGACTTCCAGCAACCATTTCAGGGAATACATGCCATAAATGAGGGCAAAAAATTCAGTATATCACTGCCTATTTCAGTGCATAGGGAGCTGATGTGCCAAGGAATTATTATGTTGTGAAGGTAATTATAGGCAAACTTAGTATGAAACATCCAAAAACATTTTCGCAACATATAATTTGAAAATTCAGCACAATTTGACTTGGCCTGGGTCCATTGGTACCTGTGAGCATGAGGTTCAGCACACCTTCTAAATGGGTGTCCAGTGCAGTAGACTGATTTTTTTGCAGACTGGCCAGATGGTACTATCAAGCAGTTATAGTGGACCTCCACTCAAAGCACTGGTCTGGTAATGGGAGGTGTGTGCTTTGTGTCCCACAAAACCCCACAAAAATTATTTTGTTGTTTACTCATGAGAAACCAGACCACCATACAGCATAACACTTCAGTGTTTCAACCCATCTGATCCATCATGAAGTATCTCCATCACATGCTCTGGCTGTGCTGTCCACACCAGTCAGGGCCATTTTAAAAGCAAATTATTTAGAATGTATACCTTTCTTTAAAGGACATACTACAATGCTGGGATGCCAAAAATGACCCTTGCACAAAACTGAAAACAAAGCTGAAAGGCACATCATAAACCTATATGATGTTGAACATCTGGAGTGCAAAAATACATATTACACTCAACATGTCCCACATATCAGCAGCACCATAGATGCATTTTAATGCATAAATACCTAAATCTAAGCACACAGAACTCCATGCATAGTCACCAGCAATTTCAGCACAATGAGAGCCAAAATTTTACCCAAAAATGATGTGGTTAAGATCATTTTTTGTCTAAAATACCCAAAACATATTTTCCAAGCAGAAACAATGAGAATTTCCTATCATTAGACCCAGACTGAGTTTGAAGCATGTGGGTGAAAGGTTCAGTACACCAATGGTACCCCCACATCTGGCACAGGGATTGACTTTTTGCAGGCTGGCTGTAGATTAGATTTGCTGAAAACAAACAAGCATAGAACACATGATACATAAGAGCTGTCAATAAATTACCTAAAACATAGAGGGAAGGAGGGTTTTGATGGACCATAACAGAAGTGTCACAATGGAGGGAGAGGGCAGGGGTAGATTCTAGACCATGCTATGCTGCACTCACATCTGGTTTTAAAACATGGCAAAATTAAGAAAACAATATCTTTTTGTCAGATTCTTATAGATTCCTCTCACGACAAGAAACTTATCTTTCTTTGTTTCTCATTTTTAGCACATTTAAGGGGGGGGGGGGGTAAACACTTAACTTTTTATAATTATATGCTCAATAGAGTAGCCAGAGGAGACAGTGGACCACCCAGCATGAAAAACTAACAAAAATTCAGACCATAAATTTAGGCAGCATGTCAAAAATCCCTCAAGCAGAGGTGCCACAGAAATCAAAATGTCTTCATCAAGCCCTCAAGACCATATACTGAAACAAAATACCTTCAATCTATTCATGAATGGGAGATGATATTAGGAAGAGGCCTAAATAGCGAGCCCAATACCACCGATAGAAATGTCATATTTTACCAAACTCTATAATTTCAAAACACTGATCTTGGGATGGCTTGATATGGCCTGTTATCAATTCTGAACCATACAACTACCTTCCGTATAGGCCACACGTACGAACCCAGACGGAAAAGGACGAACCCACCTAGATAAAGAACCGTTGGGACAAACCCCCAGTGGAAAATAGTCTTCCCGATGTTGAGAACTATGCTAAGTCTGTCCTTCGCTTCTGAGCTCAATTTGATCATGATTAGGTATCAGTGGAAACTCCAAAATGTCCTGCGTAACTGACACGAGCCCACGCTACTCAGCGTTTGCAAACGGAGCCCGCTGCTATTGAAATTGCTGCGCCACTTTCCCTCAGAGAGAACCGTGATGCCAGGGAACGTAGGCTTGGAGGTCATGATTTTGTAGTCTTTATTTTGATGAATGTAAAGAAGCGGACAAAGTACGCAGCCTTGTGAACTGGTTTGAGATTGCTTTGCATACGTGGCGTGACGACGAGATACCTTTCGGATCGTGTCTCGCAGTCTGCACTGGTCAATGATCATGCAGGTTTAGACGTCTTTAGTCGCAATGCGGATGACAATCATTCATGTCATCTGTTTCTCAGGCATACTTCACTACCAGACCAGGAACCGATCGCTTTACGTCAGCAATTAACAACAATGACACTTCATTGGCTGGTAACTCTAACATTTTCCTTTCATCGGCCTGTCAACCCACGCATGCTTTTCTTAGCTACATCGCTAAGGTAAAACAGGCTGCCATAATAAGGCTTGTGGTCTGAAAAATTGAACAAATGTTAATATTATTTGATAACAAACAAGACGCAGCGATGCAGGCTGGCGTTGGAATATATATCAAACTCCATCTGTTTTAATCCCGGATATGGTTAGGAGACGTAAAATAAACACATTTCAAGATTAATTTCATTGAGACGATGGCTTAAAGGGTTTATAATGACTGTTGAAAACCCAGAGCGTGACATCTCCATGATAAATGTCCCCAGGCGTTCTCATGATGACGTCACTATTTAATTGCCAGATCTACTCCTGATTCCACCCTGACTCCCTCCGTCTGGTGTTTGGCGTAACGTTAGTGTTCTTTTGCCCTGTACCAGTAGCCTCGTCTCTGTTTTAGGGCCTTGGCCTTGTCGGTTGCAAGGCGTCTGGGCATGGGCGACTGCGAACAGTAGTGACTGGCCTGGTCGGTTTCCCGGGGCACGTGCACAGATAGGATAAGTGGCGAAGATCGTCGGATAAGATAAGGAAATCTCTACGACCCGCCAAAGACTGCCGGAGTGCCCGACCTGCGGTGATTGTGCCGGCCCGCTGGGGTGTCAGCTGCTGGCAACGTAGGTTGTAGGCTAGGGTTGAATAATGGCAGACCTAAAGATTGAGAGATAAAATGAGTTGATCCCTTTATTGTGAAATGCTCGACCTTAGCTTCCTGACTCCAGTGGTTCCTGGTTCCAGTGGCTGTGTGTCAGATGCCAATCAGCAACAAATTTATCTGCCACTGAATGCTTACAGTGTCCTGCATGCATGTGTAAACATAAGCCTTGCTTTCATGTGCTGAACTCAGGCTGGGCCAAATTTTATTGAATTTCCAAAACATTTTGCTTGAAAAGCATTTTCAGAATATGCATGCCTGAAGTACCTGAAACATCAAAAAGCTATCTTCCTTTTTATGAAGCACCTGTCAATGCAAAAAGTATTAATTAGGGGGCTCATATTGCTAGTTTCAGGGGGCAGCTTATTCCATCAATCTACTCGTGGTTGCAGCAAAATGTCATAATCTGTTCCTGCTGTGGCTGAAGTCCATCTCGTGTGCATGCTGTCATATTGTGCTTTTATTAAATTAAGGAATTAATGTTAGATCACTGTGTTGTTGATGGTGCAGTGATTTAAATTTTCAGTTTTGCCCATTTTCTACTGTGTTTTCTATATCACAATGGCCTTTTATTTTTTGTACTTTGAAAAAGCCAAGTGCACACATGAGCTGGCATGAAATGTCTGGCTTGTGCAGGCTAGGTATCAAAACCTGGCATTTTGCAGTCTCACACTGTACTTTGTGGCTGGATGACAAGATATCTCTCTGATGCCCTTGCCGCAGATTGAAGGCAGAGGAACAAATGTAGAGAGAAATTAAGATAAGATAAGATAAAATAACAGAGCCAGGAATGGCACCAATTTGGCCCCATTTTCTCCAGATTTTAGAAATTTCACATTCAGTGTGTTTTATCAACTAGGGCAGGCAAGTCACCCATGTCCCCTGCAGCTGCCCCCACTCTGTGATGTGATGTGATGTGTCTAATGCGTATCTGATCATGGAAGCTCATGCCTGATGATCATCTACTACAGGATGTTGAGCAACAGGGTCAAGGTGTATGTCAGGAGAAGGGAGGTGTTGCAGACCGTCTCTATAGCCTTTAGCCTCCCTCTTTAGGAGAATGTCAGAGAGTGGTAAGGTGCAGATCTGCTCTGCATCACCAGCCCTCCTTCTACAGGAGGATGTCAGATGAGGGCGAGGTGCAGGTCCGTCCGGCACCCAGGGATGGGGAGCCAGAGCGGGACGTGGAACTGACCGGCTGCGGTGGCTCGCTCTGCTGCGACCCGCACCGTAACGTCCACCGTTTCGTCGTGTTGCCTATCATCTGCTTCATCTCTTTCGGTGAGGATAGCATGCTTATCATAATGCATAATATGGTTTTGGGTATATGACATATTAGGATGAATGATGCATGCCAGTCAGGCTGTTATCCAATGTCCAATGGACTGAAGCACATGCCTCAGCGCATAGAAGCAAGGTAAGTTATGTTGTGAAAAAAACACGGTATGTGTCTATTGCAGAACCCAACATGTGTTAAAGGAGGCTGGTGTTAGAACGCAAAAAGAGAAAGTTAATGCTGCCATGTGACTTACACCTTCCTATCTATTTATGTGGGTGGCTTGAATTCAGAGCATTGCTAAATGAGGCTTTTTCATTTTGTCTCCAGCATTTTTACCTGACAGCTGTGATGAGTTTATGTGCCACACAGTCATGCTGCCTGGGGCAATGGTTAGTCCTTTTTGGCCAGTTGCCATCTGACATTCCCATGTCTGTTGGATCAAATCAGGTCACATGGGTGGCTTTTATTGCAGGAACTTGCTTAATATCAGTTTATAGGTGTGGTCTGTTGTGATGCTTTTTGTGTCATGAGAACTCCTGTACAAACTTATGCTAGCTTCATCTAGAAAGTGCTTTCACTACACATATTCATTCAGACCGGATGATATCTTCTAAAGCCCACCACATGCAGATTAGCACCCAAGGTCAGCCACGGATAGCGATAGGCACGATTTGAAGCTGGCCATCAGTTCCGTTCTTCATTTGTTTGGTATTTTGCTTGCTTGGTCTTCAGTCCTGCGCGGTTCCATCTAAGGCTTTCGTAAAAAGAGCGCAAACGATGGCCCACTGATATTCTGGGATGCTGTCTGCGCTCCCCCCCCCCCCCCCTTCCCCTGCACGGTCTGGCTGACCCGGCCGCCTCGGCAGGGTCGTATTTCTGCTACGACGGTCCGGGTGCGCTGCAGGATGACCTGAAGCGCGACATGGGCGTCAACACGTCACAGTACTCCAACCTGTATGCCTGGTACTCCTGGCCCAACGTGGTGCTCTCCATGGTCGGCGGATTTCTCATCGATAGGTAAGCTCTAACACGTAGTGCTCTCCTTGGTCGGCGGATTTCTCATCGATAGGTAAGCTCTAACACGTAGTGCTCTCGACGGTCGGTGGATTTCTCATGGATAGGTAAGCTTTAACACGTGGGCTTCCTTAGAAGCATTGACATTGGTGATGGGGGAACGGGGTTGCTGTGAACTGCTCCGTTGTTTGCGAACCACGTGGCAACGTGCCGGGCTCCGCACTTAACACGCGCTCGGGTGGCCGGTGGAATACCCCTCGCTCGGGTAGGGGGTCAGTTTGACCTCCTGAGATCTCAAAACTTAGAGAGGTAGAGACGTCTTCGGGTTGCATTGATTTTTGCATTTGAATTGGCGTCAAGGATTGCGCTCGGTGGTATGCTGTGAAAAACAAAACGTTTACCCGGGTCGTTTCAGGTCAGTGACCTCTTCTGACTTCTAAGAAGTCCATGCAAAATGTATAATATAGGTTCCTGGTCTTATTAAGTTCGAAAAGAGCAGCAGAAACTACCCCATACAGCAAGCTTTGCGACAAAAAACGTGTTGCTTTTGATGCTGGTCTAATCGTGATCCTGACCCTGGTCAGTGGAATTCTTAACTAAATTGTTTATGTTGTCTAGTAAGCAGTGGTAAAGACATATGGCTTCGTGTTACACTCCGCTATTGTATCAGATCAAACAATTCTGTAGAAATTGTCCACGGTGAATCCATGGCGTAACTGACCTGCCGTGGTTCAGGGACCTTACAAGCTGCATTTATACTTTTGTGCCAAAAGATCCATTATTTAATTGTCTACAGCTATCAAAATTTGGTGCGGGTACGCCGCGCCGTTTAGAATCATTCGTAAGAAAATCTGCGTTGGAATGGGGGGGGGGGGGGGGGGGAGGAGGGTCGAATTGAACCCCGCACCGGAGAGCGTGTTAAGTGGAGCGGTACATACTTGAATTGGATTTTGAGCTGAAATAGCCATTTGCGGTTCACGCAGGGCGGGGCTGTGAACTGGACTGAAGGTCTGGCTTTCGTGACCGTGATTTCCTCATTAAGTGGATGTCAGTTAGCTCTCAGACAGTGCTGAGCAAGGTGCGTAAGAAACTCACGAATAGATGTGGGAGGATGGCACGAGAAAGGGACAAAACATCAGCACATAATGACATTTGGCTAAGCAAACACCGCCAGCCCGTGGTGCCATCTCCCGAGGCTTTGAAGTACTGCAGGCGGGAAGCAGTTTCGCATGGCTAGTTTGGCAGTATCTCTCCATCATACAAACGTTCCATGCCGCGATCAAACAAAGACGTATTGAGGAGCATATTAGCAAAACAAGAGAAACAAATTTGGTTGGCTGGAATAGTCCTTTCCGCTCAAAAGTAAACCGATAATATCATAAATGAGTTTATTTCATGATATTTGATGTTTATTTCAGTATCTTCAAACCTATCGATCGGGTACATGATGGTTGAACGACACCACAAAATGTTGAAATGTGACTTAAATGCCCACCAAAATGTCGTGGCGTGTTCCTCGACCGGGCGCCGCTGCGCGCCTGGCCTCCGCCAAGCCAAGATTTTCACGTTCTTGAAATGAGACGTGAAACAACTCTGAACTCATACTGCCGAAAAGCGGGGAGCTGAATGCCTTTCTTGCTTATATCTCAGCATCTCTCTCGTACGTGAACAGTGACATGACAGTGAAACGCTGCCCCTGTTTTAGGCTACCATGACAGATATTTTCTGTTTGGTACGTGGGATAGCATCACGCTCTAATAATTGCCTACGTGTTGGCGCCGCCTGAACGGTCGTCTTTCTGGACCCAGACCATCTCGATTTTATTGCTATCACCCCTGGGGCCCTTGCATTCTTCCTTTGGTGGCAATCCCCGCCCCGTGTTTTTACTTATGTGCATCTGGGTAAAGCATATTTGCTCCAGAGTGGCGCAAGACGTGCGATTTTCTACCTGACGTAGTTATTTACGCGACACTTTTCGATCCGGTTGGAAGTGGTCACGTGACTAAGTATATAAAGTGGCATAGCTTAGACATAGAATAACACATAGTGGCATAGACATGGAATGACACATGTAATGGCTAGACATATAATAACACAAGGCATGCATAGATGGTATATAGCAGTAATCTAATTGATTAATAGTAATTCCATTAATTGATAATCATTGAATTAATAAATGGCCATTCAATACTCAGTACTACTGCAATTTACGAATAGTTCCCATTACATATGCACGGACAATACACAGTTTCCTCACTGGTGGTTCAGATACCAATCGTACTGAAAACAGCCGTGAACAGCGCAATAAGTAAGCGAGCTGTGGTCATGCAAACAGTGGAAACAGGTCTCCTTGCAGTGCAGGAGTTGTTCACTAATTTTGGAACTGCAGAATACAATTTTTTCATCACGACGGACGTTGCATTTTTCTATCCCGCTGTTCCGTGCGTCTTTTCTGTCCAAACTCAAAAGCACGCAGGGCTATCACTATTCGCACTTATTCTCACTTTTCAATGACAATGAGAGTTGTCTTGAGCTGCGGGAAGTCTATGTGAATTGAGGTATTGTCTTTTACCAAGTTTACATGAGCCCCATTACGTCGAATGTACCGCCCATTCGGAAGGTGATCACGTTAGTGCATCATTTAATCGCCTGCCCTCCTTCAGTGTATTCGAAGGGAGCAGAATCAAAGTGATCATGCGATCAAGCATAGAGTTTAGGACGCCAAACGCGTCAGCCCCGTCGTCGTGTGAAATGACAACCAATCAGGGACGCCAATGGAGTTCACACAACCAATCAGGAACGCCAACGGAGTTCACAGCTGAAGGGCGGGCGAGGGGCGGTTGTGGATCCAAATGCTGCGTGAGGCATGGATCGCCATTGCGCTTACGTTTAATTGACGGTACATTTCAAGTTGCGGCTTCATGTAAGCTAGGTATTTGGGTTAGTTTCAAAGTTGTCATTGAGCCGCTGGTATGGCCGGAGCTCATCGGCCACTGACCCAAAGCTGACCGTGAAGTGCAGCTTGCGCTGGCGCCGCGACTAATCCGCCGAAAGTTGAAACCTGAGCTTATGTGATCGAAGTCCACATTGCGTTGTGCTACTCAGTGTTTTTACTTATCTTTTTTGTCGTTCGGTCGGTGACACGGATGTACCTTCGGGTAAAGTGTTCAGCGATCAGAAACTTCGGGCGTTCATTATAAAAGGCTAGCTGTGGTTAGCTGTGCGGACGGCACATTCGCTATGGCACCCGACAAATATTTCGCACGATTTCCTTATTAACCTAGTTCACGCGAGCCCTCTGACCGCAGAATCACCATCGAACCGGAGCGAGGTCGCGCTGACTGCACCTTGTAATGGCATCCGCCCCCTCAGTGGGTTCAAATGTATCAGAATTGCGCGGTCCTTGTAAGAAGCGGCTGGAGGGTAGCGGGCCGACAGCGGCTGGCCATTGAAGGCAATGTTTCACATCTGAAGATATTGAAGCAAGCATTAGATATGATGAGACAAGGCCACTTGTAACTTTTGGTATGCTTTTTAAGTGGAAAATGCTGCTCTAGACAGGTCAGTTCTGTGCTTAGGAAGTATGCTCCACAAAGCGTCATGGTTTGGTTACGGCATCGTACCTTGCACAACATTGATTGAGAGCCAACTGACTGCCGCTATATCTGGAAATCATGCTCACGAACGCCAGATATGAACACCTCGACAATTGTTATTATTATTATTTTTGGGTCTGATCGCCGCATGGCTTATGTAAGTGCAGGATTTGAATGACATTATTATGACGTCACGAATACCGGTGATTGAAATGCTTTCCCCGACGTACCTTTTCCCATTTTCGCGGACGCATAGCTCAGAAACTAAATGGGCTTGGGTCTTCAGAAGGCCAGGACTTCGAACATCACGGAAAGTTCTTCAGTATGGCTATTTTAGTTCAAAACCTTCTATAACTGCGGGACGCCCTCTTTAATATTTGGCCTGAGGCCACGGAGGCACTGCCCAAACCAACCGGCCTGTCTGAACAGCAGTTTGATCGCATTTGTGAAGTCAATTCACATCCGTGCCTGCTTCTGGTGCCCATATAAGCTTGGTGATTGATAGACCGCGTGTCGCACACCGCTTTCTTATCCTTTGCAGTGTTTGCAGGTGCGGCCCCCGTTACGCCACGTGGTCTGGAGGCGCCGCCGCCGCCTCCGCGTCGCCTCCGTGTCTATACGTGCACGCACATGGTTTGTCGGCCTGCCGCAGGGTGTTCGGCATCCGGCTGTGGCGCCATCATATTCGCCGGCTTCGTGTGCGTTGGCCAGGTGATCTTCGCCTCCGGAGGCATCCTGGACCTGTTCTGGCTCATGGTGGTCGGCCGCTTCGTGTTCGGGTGAGCTGGTGATCTGTGGAGACAGACGCCTCTCGGCACAACGCCGCATTGAAGTTGAGCGCATCTTGAACCCAAACGTCCTTGTACGCAGATGCGGCGTGCACAGTCTATTGCCTCGGCCTGTCAGTGACGGACCGAAGCGATAAAATATCAGTGCAGATAAGTCAAGAACAAAAGTGGTCTTGAAACCTTAAAACAACAGAATTTATCAGTGCAAATAGGAGTGCGAAAGCTCATCGTGCAGAGGTTCGTTTATGGCAAAAGTGCGTCGAGAAACAAATGTTTGTCCGTGTTCAAGTTCGTTTAAGTCAAAAGTACATCTAGGCCAAATTGAATTCATGACAAAAAAACGCATGCGTGTTTGATGGGGTCAGATTTAGTAAATGCGCCTAATTAAAGCTAAAGCTTTGTTGCGTGCTACAGGACTCAAAGTTTGTGCAGAAATAGTATTCAGAACCCATTTTGCCAATGGGTTTGATGGTAGATATAACTGAGTCGATTCCAATTCTGAAAGTAAGAATATATCACTGGAATTATTGACGGGAACGAATACAGGAAGTGATGTCTGAAATGGGATGAAGAATTGCCCCATATTGATAAAATCAGCTGTCGAAGCTGGGCTTGGATATGTCTTTAGCTGGAATCTGGTGGTATATACTCAAACCGAAAATAGATGTCCCCAGATAACGAGCGAACACGATTCTTCGCTCCAGTCCAAACTCCGCATGTAATTCCACGAATTCCTCCAGACGAAGCGGAATGTTCTCTAATGAACTTTTGGTCACGCGAACTGTTCCACGACAAACTACCCGCCCTGCCAACTTTTCTCCAAACATCTGTTCCATGTTTGCCGGATACAAAATTCGGAGATGCGAGTTTTTGTCCTCACGAACATCTGCGTTAGGAACTTTAACTTGACGAACCCGTGTCCGATGAGAGGAAGTTCTGCCAAATGAACTTTTGTCCCTGTGTAGAAATTTTCGTCCAAGACGAACATCTGTCCTACACGAACTTTTGCCGCGGATAAACTTTTATGGACGAACTTTCCGAGATGTACATACCTTTGCCATAGACGAACCTTTTTCTGACGAACCCTTGAGCGTGCGAACTGTTCGCCGACAACAACCGCCCTACGAACCTTTGCCTGAAGAGCTTTGCCCGGAGGCCAGGACATGCTCTGGATTAGATGAATCGTCTTCTGGCTGGTGCATGTGAGTCGTTTTTGGTCCCGGTGAGTCGTGTCCTGATCCCAGTGAGTCTGTATTGGTCCCGGGTGAGTCGTGTCCTGATCCCATTGGGTCTGTATTGGTCCCGGTGAGTCGTGTCCTAATCCCAGTGAGTCTATTGGCCCCGCAGGGTCGTGCCCTGATCCCAGTGAGTCTGTATTGGTCCCGGTGAGTCGTGTCCTGATCCCAGTGAGTCTGTATTGGTCCCGGTGAGTCGTGTCCTGATCCCAGTGAGTCTGTATTGGTTCCGTTGAGTCGTGCCCTGATCCCAGTGAGTCTGTATTGGCCCCGGTACGTCGTGTCCTGATCCCAGTGAGTCTGTATTGGCCCCGGTGGGTCGTGTTCTGGTCCCAGTGAGTCATCTGCTGACCGCCCCCCCCCCCTCCCCCGTGCACCGCAGCATCGGCGGTGAGAGCTTATGCGTGGCCGTCAACACGTACTCCGTGCAGTGGTACAAGGGCAAGGAGCTGAACATGGTGCTGGGCCTGTCACTGTCGGTGGCGCGCGCCGGTTCCACCGTCAACTTCAACGTCATGAAGCCGCTCTACGACGCCGTCTCCGAATCCTACTCGGGCTATAAGGCCACCGGCGTCACACTGATGATTGGTGAGAAACGAAACACTTCCGACGAGCGGCAGGTGTTGGCGAGACCTGAGCACGGGCATGACGAGTTAATGGCGGCTTCGCGTTGAGCTTAGCTTTGAGAAAATTCCACTTGCGAACCAGGCTTCCGTACCTGAACATGGCTGTGGTCCCCTCCTGCAGTTTGTCGTGGTGTGAGTCGAAGCCGGCGGCGTGGCAGGCGCTACCGGGTGTACTGAAGACAGCGTGCCGCCCCCTCTGTGCTGGCTGACACCGGCCGCTGGTGACCCCCGTGTACTGAGACAGCATGCCGCCCCTGCTGTGCTGGCTGACCCTGGCTCTGTGGTGCGCTGCGCAGCCGGCTTGGCCACCATCCTGTCGCTGGTGCTGGCCGTCATCATGTGGTTCCTGGACAAGCGGGCTCAGGTGATCTTGCGCCGGGACGAGGGCAAAACGGGCGAGGAGGTACACATCACCGACGTCAAGGATTTCCCCGTCAGCTTCTGGATGCTCACCGCCATCTGCGTCTTCTATTACGCAGCCATCTTCCCCTTCGTATCGTTTGGACAGTAAGTCATGCGACCTGTGGCGAAAGCTCTTGGAATTTGGTTAATTTGGTTGCCTGTTTTATACCGTTTTCTGTGTTGTTTTTTTACAGTATTGTCTAAGTTGTATGCTTAATGTTATCACTTGTCTCATTACTTTTGCAATAAACGTGAAAATATTTAAGTTGAGGATCATTTGACCTCGTTTTCCTCGTGATTATACTAAGAGGGAAGCATCTGCGTTAAATTAAACGTTATATTTCTACTACTGATCTTCCTCAATCATGAAAATCCTGGGTATCCACCTCCTCAACCACGCCTAGATAAGGTATTAACAAAACTTAAGCGAGCTGCCGTTACATAAGTAAGCTGTTGTGTAAGCTGTTGTGTGCAGAAAAGCGGACTGAAGTATACAATGCACCTTGTTCAAGTACAACCTAATCATTCTGCTTTCAGCATGGCCAGTTACAAACGTTCAAAAGCGTTTTAGTCCGAAAAAGTTAAATTTCTTAGTGGCAGAGAAGTTTTTTGACCGAACTGACGCAGCCCTGAGTGACACGCACTTTCGCTTGTCGTGGCGAGCCGCCTCACATCGACCCTGACCCTTAGTCCCTGACCGATGACCCGTGACCTCTGATGACCTCTGACCCAGGACTCTGACCGAGGAACTCTGACCTCTAACTCATGACCCCTAACCTCTGACCCATGACATCTCACCCCCGACCTCTGGCCCCTTGACCCCTGTGTCTTGACCCCTGTGTCTTGGCCCGTGACATATAATCCCTGGCCCCAGACCTCTGACAAATGACCTCTGATCTCGGGTCCCTGACCCCTGACCCCTGACGCTGGCCTGGCTGACCCCCCTCAGGGTGTTCTTCATCCGCAAGTTCGAGATGACACCGGCCGAGGCCAACTCCTGCACGGGAATCATCTACATCATCTCGCTGGTGGCATCGCCCTTCATCGGGCTGTCCATCGACTTGGCCGGCAGGAACATCCTTTGGGTGATGGTCTCGGTGTTGATGACGGTCGGCTGTCACGCGCTGATGGCCTTCAGCTTCATCAACCCCTGGGTGGCCATGGTGAGTCGGCCCGCTGAAAAACCGCGCGCCGAGGCTTAACGCTCCGGACGCGCCGCAGCGATGGGTCGTTAATCCGCCCACGCTTATTGATCGATGCATGTTGTCTGATTGTTGCTGGCGGAGAAGCCGGGCGGAGCAGGCAGTGTCGTGCGCTGTTGCCCAGTACGCGGGCGGCGGACGAGTCGGTGATGAGAGGGTGCGTCCGGCGGCGTGCTGTGGCCGCCCGGTGACGTCACAGCCGACCCGGCTGACCCCGGCCGGTGCCCGGCAGTCGATCCTGGGCATCGCCTTCTCCATGCTGGCCTCCGCTCTCTGGCCAATGGTGGCGCTGGTTATCCCGGAGCGGCAGTGCGGCACCGCCTACGGCATGTGAGTAGCGCAGCTGGTCGGGGGCTGGACCGCGGCTGGCTGGCCCAGGCCGGAGCTGGACCGCGGCGGGCTGACCCGATCCAGGGCTGGTCCGGAGCTGGGTGACCCAGGCCGGGGCTGGACCGCGGCGGGCTGACCCGGTCCGGGGCTGGTCCGGAGCTGGCTGGCCCAGGCCGGAGCTGGACCGCGGCGGGCTGACCCGGTCCGGGGCTGGTCTAGGGCTGGCTGGTCCAGGCCGGGGCTGGACCGCGGCGGGCTGACCCGGTCCGGGGCTGGTCCAGGGCTGGCTGACCCAGGCTGGGGCCGGACCGCAGCGGGCTGACCCGGTCCGGGGCTGGTCCAGGGCTGGTCCGGAGCTGGCTGGCCCAGGCCGGGGCTGGACCGCGGCGGGCTGACCCGGTCCGGGGCTGGTCCGGAGCTGGCTGGCCCAGGCCGGAGCTGGACCGCGGCGGGGCTGACCCGGTCCGGGGCTGGTCCAGGGCTGGCTGGTCCAGGCCGGGGGCTGGACCGCGGCGGGCTGACCCGGTCCGGGGCTGGTCCAGGGCTGGCTGACCCAGGCTGGGGCCGGACCGCAGCGGGCTGACCCGGTCCGGGGCTGGTCCAGGGCTGGTCCGGAGCTGGCTGGCCCAGGCCGGGGCTGGACCGCGGCGGGCTGACCCGGTCCGGGGCTGGTCCGGAGCTGGCTGGCCCAGGCCGGAGCTGGACCGCGGCGGGCTGACCCGGTCCGGGGCTGGTCCAGGGCTGGCTGGTCCAGGCCGGGGCTGGACCGCGGCGGGCTGACCCGGTCCGGGGCTGGTCCAGGGCTGGCTGACCCAGGCTGGGGCCGGACCGCAGTGGGCTGACCCGGTCCGGGGCTGGTCCAGGGCTGGTCCGGAGCTGACTGGCCCAGGCCGGGGCTGGACCGCGGCGGGCTGACCCGGTCCAGGGCTGGTCCGGAGCTGGGTGACCCAGGCCGGAGCTGGACCGCGGCGGGCTGACCCAGTCCGGGGCTGGTCTGGAGCTGGGTGACCCAGACCGGGGCTGGACCGCAGCGGGCTGACCCGGTCCGGGGCTGGTCCAGGGCTGGCTGGCCCAGGCCGGGGCTGGGCTGGACCGCGATGGCCTGACCCAGACCGGACACCAGCCGTCATAAGCCAGGTCGCCGACAGCCACCCGTCATATGAAGCTAGACTGTCATTGATAACGTAGCAGAGCTTCGGCCGTTTCCATCAAAGCACGCCTCTTCACCCTAAACGGCAGGCACCATGCCCCCAGAGCCTTAGCGTGGGTATACGGTCGGCTAAGTGGGCGTGCCCGCGCTGTTTTGCTCCTCGCTATCACCGCGTCTGACTGACTGTGTCTGTGTGGTGCGGCAGTATGCAGTCGGTGCAGAACCTGGGCCTTGCACTGGTCAACATGCTGGGTGGCACGATCGTGGACCACAGTGGGCTACCTTGTCTTGGAGGTGTTCTTCCTCGCGTGTCTCTGCGGTGAGTAGCGGCCGGGTGGTCGGCGGCGGCAGCGAGGGGAGGGGGATTTCGTGCTCGAACCATCCCATAGGGCTGTATGCTAACGCACCACCCCTCCGCCAGCTGAAATGTCGTGCTTGTATTTGTATTTGTATTCGTCGCGAGGCTGAGTGATAGTGGTTTCTATTCATTATTGGCATCAATCATCGCTGCTGACTGCCAGCACATTTTGAATCAGTGCGCTGCCGACAGTCTTGCTGTTCTTTCTTAAGACGTCGTTAGTGTATTCGACACCGGTCTGATTCGGCGCGGCTGGACGCGGTTCCCCTGCGCCGGTGTGTCGCCCTCGCTGGGGGTGGGGCAGGGGTGCGTGGTGCGCCAGCGCCTGTTTGACCCGTGACCTGACGCTGCTGGCCGGCGGGCGCAGTCTGCATGGTGGCTAGTATCGTCATCTGGGTCATGGACGACATTAAGCACGACGGCTACCTGAACGGCAGCCGGAAACTCAAACAGCAGATCGAGGAGCGGTGTCGCCAACGTAAGCCGACCCGGGCCTGTGTTCGTCCCGGGCGGGGTCCGCTTGGGCTGTGTACGTCCCGGTGGTCTGCGGGGTTTGTACGTCCCGGCATCTGTCCGGGCTCGTCGCCCCGCCCCGCACCTGCGCTCCAGCGCGCGCTGTCCAGGCGGGACACAGCCAAACGCGCGGCCTTCCAGCAGTTGATTAGCCGAGAGGCGCCTCGCTCAGCGCCTGAGCTGGCGGCCCGCATTGCCAGCACTGGAGCGCAGGTCGGGACGGGGGCGGGTCGGTCAGTCGGGCCGTCGCCGGCGTCTCGGTGCCACCGTTGTACGCGGGTCCCTCTGTCCGCGCAGCCACGATGATGGCGGCCATCGTGATCCTGGTGCACGACGCGGCCCATGGCGGCTCGCTCAACATGACGCCCGGCGAGCGGCGTCGCTTCGAGGCCTGCTCCAAACGGTCAGTCGCCGTGCAGCAGCGCGCGCCGGTCGGAGCGCGCTGACCGCCGGAACGCCGCCCCCCAGCACTACTCCACTGGTCCCACACGGCTGGGAGAGAGGGAACGGCCCCGGTGGTAATCATGCCAACAGCCATTCGTCTCGAGAGTGTCAGTGTGACGGCAACTCTGCCAAAGAGTTCGGGAGTGGTTTGGTGGCGTATCTGAAAAGTCGAGTGGGGTAACTGCGGCTGTGGGGTTGGCTACTGGAGTGCGGGCTGGAGGGAGTTCGGTGGAGTGTCCAGTGCAGCGGCCATTCGGAGGGTCGGTGGTGAGTGCGGAGAGGCCCGTGCTCGCCACCCGCCCCGCTGACCTGGGATGGAGCGGGCCGCGGTGGCCAGCGGCCGTATCGACGGTGGTCAGCGGCCGTATCGGGGCTATCGAGCGGCGCACGGGACCGGGCTGAGATACGGACGGGGTCGGCCCGCGCCCCGATGTCGCCGGCACTGCAGAGGGCGCCCCCGGCCGGCACCTGTCCCGATGATCCGTGACGTCCGCCAGCAGTACCCTGTGATCGTGTCGGCATCAGGCGATGCTGTACTGTTGATCAGCCAGTGTCCTGAACACGGCTTCAATGCCAATATTTTCTCCCCTGCTTGTCGTCAGGCAGATGAAAAACGGCTCAGAGGGAGGGGGGGGGGGGGGGCTATATATCAACAGAGACATTATTTGCATATCCAGTGCGCCTGGAGCAGTGCAGACCATATGCAGTGCATTGCCAGCTCAAGTCGGTTCATCATCCGCACCGCACGCTTACAGAAAGTTTCACACACCTGCATATTACGGTCGCATATCATACATGTCTACATGTCGCATGTGTACATATCATGAGTGTTCATATCGTATCGGCATATATGTAGCACCTGTACATACATGCGTACATATCGTGAATGTACTTATCGTAGCAGCGATGTGCGAAGCGTATCGCATAGTGTAAAACCCATGCGCTCATCGACAGGTAAACAGGTGGGCTCCGTGTGTCTTTCAGGCTGCCATCGAGGTATCTGTGCTTTTGTTATGTCGTGGACGCTGGCAGTGTCAGCGAATGTTTCGGTATGTGCGTCCGGTCCGGGGCACTGTGCTGGAGGCGTCCGAACCGCTCTGTGGGTCGCTGGTGTCACGTGGCGGCCGCTTCCAGTGCGCTGATCGCGGCGGACGACCGGGAGCCTCTGCTTGATGAGGAGGAGGATGGCGAGGCGTCGCCGGACGTGGCAGACACCAGGTGGGTGGGCTGGCCATTCTTTCACGTGCTCACTGGTCGCCGACAAACGGCTGCTGGGCAGCCTGTGTCCTCCGCGGAATCGTCATCTCGTTCTGACTCATCTGAATTTCACCTGATGAAATTTTCCAGGTGCAGTATCGTCTCGTGTTTGTGGCCGATTTCGCAGAGTGAATTACGCTGTTCCGGATTATCTTTTCTTCTTACTCGTGTTTGTGTAAAGTGTATATATGTATATATATATATATATATATATATATATATATATATATATATATATATATATATATATATTCCGGAGCATAGCAATCAGTGCCTTGAGCCGAGTCCCTACTGCATTCCGACTGATGATGTGGCGTTAACTGGGAGCGGTGTCACCGCCGCCAGACGAGCATGTGGAGCCGCGGTGTGTGCCATCCGTGTGCGGTGCGGTGTGTGCGGTGCGGTGTGTGCCATCCGACCCTGACCTGCCGTCCGGCTGCGGCAGGGGAGGCGGCCGAGGCCAAGGCGGCAGCTGAGTCGGCCGAGAAGCACGGCTTCGACAACAAGGCGGGCCGAGTGGGGCGACGAGGACACCGAGATGTAGCTGACGGTGCCGCGCCCGGTGGCGGCGCGGGCCGCGTGCCCCGGGCCTGCGACGCGGTCGGAGCCCGAGCGGGCGCGGCGGCCCGGCGGCGGCCTCCCGCTGCCGCGGCCTTGGCGAGCGTCACCCCGTCAGCTCGGCGCTCACCAGACGTCCACCCGTCTCCGGTGCCGTTGGAAACATGGCGCCAACGCCAAATTGGTTCACCAATTCGAGCTTGCTCGGAGTGGGAGTCGCTGACCATGTACTCGGTGGCCAGTAGGTTGATTGATTCGTTTGGATGCATATGCTCGGAAAACGTCCAGCCTTCAGCTCACTCACCTCTGGGATATGTTATGACAGACGGACTGCGCGTAATATTCTCATCGATGAGGTCTTGATGAAAACTCTTTAAAACTCTTTTAGATCTGGTACGATGCAAGCTTCACTACGAGGTACGGTGTATTGGTACATCACATTGGTACATCGGGTACGAGGCATGCATATTCAAGTAATTTTGGGAGAATTTGAATAGTGATGGCCGAGCTGCAGATGGCCATGGGCAGTTGGATAGGCTTGGCAATTGAGGTACCCGGTGCAAAGATATGCTCAATATCCCACATCTCATGCGAACAAGAGTAATGGTGATCACGTACTTTGAACGGGCATTGTAACATGGCACTTGTCAAGTAGCGCGTCGTGCGCGTCGGTAATTCAAGGCGCTTATTTTACCTTTGACAAAAGCATATGTTGTGAACTCATATTGCTATGCAAGTATGTAACCGCACTAAAATTAGCTGGTCTCTAAAGAATCGAACGAAATACGACTTACGCCCGACAGCTAGCTCTTAACCCCGGCTGGGCCTGGGATTTTCAGACATTGGTCAAAAGGCACAGCCCAGTTTCAGAGCACATAAACGCATATCACAAAGCCAGTACCGCGGCACGTGGCGACCGCCCAATGGAAGCGCGTTGCCACTGGCTGGAGACTACGCAGTCATGCATCACGCCAACCGTGGACAGTGGTCGGTAGGCGGACGTAAGTTCAGAGGCTAACAAATATTTGTCATATTTTGATCAAACTGCTGTTTTAATTGTTTCTGTTGACTTCTAGCTGAAAAAAGGAATAGTGTAACTTCAAGAGGATAACTTGGATTAACAACCACAGCAATATTCTGCCCTGAGTTTGCCGGTATCGCGGTTTGATCTCTTAAAATGGTAAAGACCAGAAGAAGGCAGATACTAGTTTCAGTCAGCTGAAATGCCAACCCCGGCAGCACACCACACAGTAACAGTAACATATCCATATTCTGGGTGCAGTGTCGGGAGGCCCCGTTACGCGATTTATTTGGAAAAATGTGCGCTTTATGAGCTGAAGTCGCGCGCTGTTCATTTTAAGTGTCGCTGCTCTGCTGCGAATAGTGGGACGTCAACATCTAGAGGCACGCTCGAACATATGGGCATTTAAAAGGATATGGAAATTCTTCTGGCGAGTTATCTCGTGCAGCGAGCGCGTGCGCAGTCTAACACAGAAATGGTCATGCAGTGGAGCTCGAATACTTCCTCCGTATATTGTGTGGTATGTGGTCTCACATTCAGACCATCTTGATTTTGTACGGGCGTTTCATCTGCAACCATACACTTTGAAAAGTTGAAAGTATCCTGCTATGTGTCACATTCTCAACACAAACTATTTGCCACGTAAATTTGCAACCAGGTCCCCAAAAACGTCCTGTGCACGGTGCTCTTAAGAAAAGGCTGTCTCGTACATTGGTGTGCGGTTTCCCCAGGTGCGCAACATGCTAGGTGCGCAACATGCGTGCGCTGATTATTAGCTAGTTTATACATCGCACTGTGCGGGAGAGAACAAGAGACTCTTACGTGTGCAATGCGTATTATTTAATCTCATGCCATTTGTGTATATTGCTATGACGGAAGTGTTCTCTAGTGAGTGATGCTTGCGCATTGGTTTGCTCGAACACTCGTATTCGGTAATTATGATATCTGCCACCTGAATCCCAGCGAGACGCTTTTAAAGACCACATGAGCTTTAAAACGTGTGGGTCCGGTGTGCCGTCGCAGCGGTGGCCGAGGCGACGGCCAGTGACGGGCTCGTGGGCCAGGATATCGCGGACCTGTCGCGTGGGTAGGCCAGCCGACTTGACGCACATCTGGCTGCCTCCGAGGCGTGCGCGGTTATAGTTGAATGACATTGAACTTGTGCCGCTGCCGCGACCGTTGTCATGCTGTATGCGCTATTACCTCGAACGGATCAGGATCGTGTGTGTAGTAAGAGGGTCATGTTTAAACAGCTGTGATTGGGGCGGTCACGATATTCCATGAGCTTCCATCAGCGAATGCGTAATAAAGTATTCAACTTGTGATGTATCGCCACGCCATAATCTGACGTTCCAACATGTATTACCCCATGACGGTGAAGAGTAAGCTGCGCCATGTGATTATAGGCTTGTATTTAACAGGACTGTTCACGGAAGGGGCCTGCATGGGGTTTGTACAATGGTTGTAGCTGTACGCTCGACATGTGCGTCCCCCCCCTCCTTGTCGTCTATCAGAAATTCATCTGGGCCGCCGAATTAGGGGACGTCCATTCCACGACCTGTGAGTATTTTTGGCTGGTGGATTTGTTGTCCGGGTCAGCGTTGGTGCCCAAGTGGTACGTCTGAGTGTGGCATGGACAGAACATGTAACCCCATCCATTTACCCAGGAAAACACGCCTTCTGTCATTGTTCAGTCTTTTGGCAGCGATCTTGGTGCAGGATATTGGAGGTCAGAAAGGTGTCTGGATACATGGATCAAACATCGCGGCACGAAAAATACACATCATACACTATCCTCGAGTTTAGAGAGATTGTATCCGCTATGTCGCCTCCTGCGTCACGTAATGCAGACTCGTACTGACGCGATAGAGCCGTCCGTGCATTACGTTGCGCATTTTTGCCATCTTCAACCTTTTCGCCACCCGGGTTACGCACTGATTACGCTGGACGGCCCCGTAGTGTTGCTGTCCCAAGCGTATCGTCCCAAAAAGGAACGTTTGTCCTTCCCCCCCCCCCCCGGCCCCTAACTGGGGCCGGGGCTGCGGAGCGAACCACGGGCGTGTTCCTGCCGTGAGCACAACCATACGGCTGTGAGGTTGTGAGTAAAAACAAAGAGCTGACACGATTATAAACTATGTCTGGACGTAACATTGCGCTGTCCACAACGCTGTACCTCTCTCGGTACACTTCCGATACGCTCCAGCCGCCTACCCTAACCCCCCCCCCCCCATGCGTAGCAGTAGGTTCGGAAGGGCTCATAACGACGGATTCGGTAAGGATTTTTCCTGCGGTAAGGTGGAGACTGCTACATTATGCTCGTAGCGATGCGTGACGTCGACATGCGTGAGACATGTGAGGGATAAATATTGCATTAAAGTTGTTTGAGGGATTATGGGTTTCAAAGGGTACTTGTTAAAGGAATTATGCCTTCCAAAATGTATCTATTTTTAAGGAGTTATGTCTTCCAAAAGATGCTTGTTTTTTCCTGCTCGCACAGGTTTCTGCTCCAAAAACGGTTTTTTAAACCCTTCTGATTCTCACACTGGAAATATCGCTTGTGATTCTTTGTTCGTGTTAACACCATGCAGACCTAGACGCTGTCACAACGGACGAGGCGCCAGGTGGTACTGACTTGACAGTTATTGCTACGTAGAGCACACTCATTGGCGAAAGATCGACGCCCCATGAATGAGCACGTTGTAACTTTCTGCACATTCCACCCTAAAATGTGTGTTCTCACTGGATGTGTCCCTCCAGTGTCGGGATTCACCGACAAATCATTTGCAGTTAAAAGCCTAACAGGTTTATTGATGCGCTCCGGATTCATTTGAAGAACTTCGCTGGCCCCTCAGTAATAATGCAAAAGTCTGTCCTCAAAATACGGGCTGTTGTTTTCCAACAGCTCATGCAACAGTTTGTGTACCACTGACGCGATTGCTGTCACGTCTTCAGTTACGTCTTATGCAAATTATGTAAGTGACAATGCTGTTGTGGGTTTGTTCCCACTGAAGTAACTTTTTATCAGCATTTTCCGTCCGTGGTAAAAAAATTAAGGTAAAAGGCGTCTCGTGTAGAACCCAGTCATCACCTGTCACACGCAGCCGTGGCCCGTCACATCCAACTATGACCAACCACTTCCAGTCTCACCCACCACACCCAACCTCGGTTAGCCACACCCGTCAGTGACCAGTCACACCCAGCCGTTTACTGCCACGGTTCACCCAATCTATCCATTGACTCGCCCATGCCTACCGTGAACCGATCACTCGCGCCGAGCGCCGCCCGGCAGGCGAGCGAGTCCAGCGCGTCTCCGCCCACCAGCGCGGTCAGCCTGGAGCGAGCTCGAACACCCACTTCCCGCAGAAGCCGACCGCGCCGTCGTCAAACATATATTCAGCATCAATTGCTCGAGGATACAAAAGCGCGGGTCTGCTGGGTTAGCGAGTCCGTCGACCGTCACGCCTGGGCCAGACACAGGGCGCGCGCCGCTGGGAGGGGCGTCCTCGCCGACACCGGGCCGGGAGGACGTCCGATCCCCGAATTTGGCACAAAACAGGTCAGCTCTCGTACAATAGCAACAGAGTGTAAGCACACCGCGTCAACCAAGCAAGCTACGAGACGTCTCCAGTAAAGCATGGTTCGACAGAAATAATCGCGCGACGGTCACTGCCGAGCCCGCCCACAGTCGCACATCATAATACATATTCCGGCACGGGCCAGTTTGTGCTATGGCAATACCCACTTAACGCAGCCGACTCCAAGCGAGTCGCCCGCCGCTGCGGCGCACTAGAAAACAACGAAGTCCACAGAGTACGAACGTCAGCCCACCAAACGCGCGGGAGCGCGTGATTGCCGGACGCCGACGCCGGTGAAGGGTACAGAGACGAGCGCTGCGCCGGCGGGCCGGCTGCTCCGAGCGCTGCGCACCTTATGGAGACGGGTGAGCCGGCGCCAGCGTCGCGCTGGCTGCCCCCTGCACCGCGGCCGGCTGGAGCGGCCGCTGACACGCTGCGGCCGGCCGCGAGGTACTTCGCGGCACACGTTGGGCTGCGTTAGTGGCAGCTCCGGGGCAGCTCAGGTAGAAATGCCGCTGGTGGGCCTCGTCACTCTCCCAAAAAACCGGCTGAGACTCGTCTGATCTCGAAAAAATAATAACCAGGTCACATGTAAAAGTACAAAAATACAGCAAATCAAGCACTCTCCGTCTGATTACGAAAATCAAACCCTGCTAATTTGTCGAGTATGCGGTGCGGGACGGCACGGTCCCTAACGCGCGCCGCTTGATTCTAATATCACCAGTGGTCAGTGTACACTCCTAAGACACACGCACGCACGCACGCACGCGCAGACGCATCAATAAAAGCCACTCGCGGGGCGCGCGTCCCGCCTCGGCCTGCTCGGACTAGATCAGCCGTGCCTCTCACTGCGCCGTCCGTCTGCGCGGGCGGCGGCACGGCCACAGCGCCGCACCCGCGCCCGCTCCGGCCCGGCCGCCGGGTCCACGGCGGCGCCGCGTCGAGCCCCGCCGCAGCGGCGCCCGTTCCGTCCGTCGGTGCCGACGCCCCGGCAGCGTGCTTCCACTCGTGCTGTCCCGCGCCGTGCGGAGGGCGCCCCGGCGCCGTGCCTTGTCGAGCTCGTCTCGCCCCACCTCAAGCTCCCACACGCTTTTCCGACGCTACGCCAGCCACGCCCTGCCCGCCCCCCCCCCCCATCGCGCGCTGATTAAACTCACTACGCCGCCTCGCACCGTACGACCGACGCGCTAGATGAAGGTGCCTATCCAGGCGACAAGCGTGGGACAGAGCAAAACGGAGACGGCGCGCGCCAGCGACATGCGCGGCTTGTGGCCGCCGCTGGTGCCGCCGGCGTCCGGCCGGGGCACACCGTTCGTCTCCTCGACCGGCTGGAAGTCGATCGTGTTGGCGAACTCGTTGTCGTCGGGTACGGCCGGGTGCAGACCCGAGCCGGAGCGGCCGTGCTCGCCGCCGCCGCCGTGCAGCTCGTACTCGCCGTCGCCCGAGCCCTCCGGCAGCTCGTAGTCTTCGTCGTCGGTCTCAGCGTCCACGTCGAACGCAGCGCCGTCCCCGGAGCCGGAGCCGGTTTCCAGCGTCGTCGGCGGCTCGGCGGCCGGCTCTGCGGACGACGGGAAGCTTAGCGGGATGGCTAAAAATACGGGATGCCTTTAACAAACCAGGGACGAAACGGCCAGCCCTGTGGACGACACAGCGCTCAGCGGGACGGCTTCAGTTTCCGGACACCTTAAACAGAGCAGGGACTACACGGCCAGCCCTGTGGACGACACAGCGCCCAGCGGGACGGCTTCAGATACAGGACACCTTAAACAGACCAGGGACGAGACAGCCAGCTCTGTCGGCAGCGGGGGCGGTACAGTGACAGGCAATCGGACAAGAATAGCCCGGCTTGCACCAGCTGGTAGCGAGCCAGCGCGGAGCGTTCGAGGGGCTCGAAGATCCCACGAGCGACAGATTGAACCCAATGAGAATGCAAACGCGATACTTCAACGTGTAGCGAATTATGGTTGATTAACGACTGAGTGTTACGCGTGGAGCTCTGTTTCACCGACGGTGCTACATTCTCAGCATAGTCGCATAACCAGACGTTCATGCGAGAAGCGATGTCTGCGAGGTCGCGGGTCCATCTCATCATCGATCCGCCCCTATTCTACACCGTTCCCAACATCCAAGAAAGCACCCACCGATACACCGAGCAGACAGCGTACGCTCGCAACGAGCGGAGCGCCGCGTTTTCCGCACGCCAACGCCCGAGGCCACGACTGAGCCGCCGCCGCTGAGGCGGCCGCCAGGGACTCACCCGGCTGCTCCCAGGTGACCGTCTGCCCGTTGTAGGCGTCCCGCAGGCGGGCCGTGGCCCGCTTCAGCGCCAGGATCGCCTCGTTCACGTCCGAGTCGGTGTACAGCGTGTCGACGGGCACCTCCGGGTTGGCGACCTGCGCCTCCATGCCGTCCTTCATCAGCGGCTGCTCGTACCTGTGCATGGGGAGCGTGTCAGCGGCGCGACAGGACGCTGTGTCAGAGGCGGGACTCTGAGGACGCCGTGTCAGAGGCGGAACTCTGAGCGTCGTATCAAACTGCGGACTCCAGACTGAGAGGCAAGACTACACGGCGTTCCACGAGGAGCAGAGCCCTGGAGCTCGTGCGTCTAAGGAATGAATGCAATGATATCCATGATCTACTTAGCGGAGGGTATGCCAAATACACCGGCTCACTGGACATGCCACGGGCAAAATCGTGACAGCAGTGATTGTTTTACTTATTGCTGCAAGTACTAGCACCGAACAACCAGGCACGAACAACTGTGCTTGGCACAGGGGTTACACAGGTGAGCTGATCCCAGCGTTTGGTTCGCTCACTGACAAAACAATGTGCTTGTAAGAAATATCGACTTACGCCCCAGATCCGCACTGATCACGCGAGCGGCATAACACACGGAAACGTCCGTCCAGCCATTTGACTGGCTGGTTCCAGACACGTGGCGCCACTACCCCCACCCCAACGAGCTGGAGCTGCGGCTGGCTACGCCCGGCGGCGACGGCACGTGACCGGCACAGGTGACGGGCGCCGAGCATGAGCGGCTGACCGGCGGCGCGCGCCCCACGCCTGATCCCGTCAGCCGACCGTCCGACACCACCGGCCGGGGCGCCGGCGCGGTAGGCCAGGCGGCGCGCGCCCCACGCCTGATCCCGTCAGCCGACCGTGCGACATCACCGGCCGGGGCGTCAGCGCGGCACGCCAGGCGGCACGCGCCTCACGCCTGACCCCGTGAGCCGACCGTGCGACATCACCGGCCGGGGCGTCAGCGCGGCACGCCAGGCGGCACGCGCCTCACGCCTGACCCCGTGAGCCGACCGTCCGACATCACCGGCCGGGGGCGTCAGCGCGGCACGCCAGGCGGCGCGCGCCCGTGAGCCGACAACAAACGGTGAAAGGAGTCGGTCCGTATGTGTGTAATGCCGAAAGGAAAACTGGTGAAGTCGGACGCCCTTGACAGCGCCAACAGTTCTCATCAATCCGTAGAAAAGTCTGCCTTTATGAGAATGTGACAGGCGGGGATCCAGTGAGTCAGAATTAGCGTCCCAATACGCAAGTAATCCACATGATAAATGTCTGTGAATCCGGTTAAAATCATCGCTTATATCGAGCGCGACGATGACTTCGCGACAATTATTGTTGATTGGGTTACTGACTGGGTTAAAAATAGCCCCTAACCGTAAAACCCTACGTTTTTAAGCGCGTCGCTGCTATGATTATTTTCCGGCCATAACAGGAAAAAGGGAACATGCGGCTTTTGCAATTGTGACCACATTATTACCAACACAGCCCCAATATTTTGGAGGGATATTGGTCACAATCCCGATAACTATACGCATGCGTAACTTTCATGATACAATTTATTTAGGCGTGGGCCAGAGCTTCGCCCCTTGATCCGCTCCTGAAAAGGTGACACTGTCCACCTTGAGTCGATTACTGGCGAGCCTTTGGGTTGTGGTCTTGACACCCGTAAGCGGGTTATATCGGGCACGTTCACCCTATACCGCACATGCCGTCATTCACTGCCGTCCCGGCCCGTGGGTCGCCGCGCGCTCTTACGACCATCGCGTTTAATCGCGAACGCTCATGGTTCTCGGGTGTTGCATGCGCGCGGCGTTGGGACGTCCGAGTGAGCTGGTCACTGTCGTTGCATTCAATTACAAGGAGCAATCAATAAGCCATTTTTCACTGTTCAACCAATATTTTTGTTTTGAGACCCACCTAAGGGCGGCAAAATAACCCGGCTAAAGAACAACAAAGCGTGTCATGTTTTGTTTTCACGAATGACGGACATACTCGTCAGACGGCACCAGGGAAAACTTTCACCACGGCGTTTTGTTTTGTGCCAATCTCGCAGTGTTTCGCCTTGCTATGTAGACAGGGCTTCTATACACGTCACACGGTGAGTCGCGTTGTCAGAGCTCATGTCCGCCTTCTGGAGCCGCCCTGTTCGCTCCTTTCCCACCGAACATTTAGCATGGCCTCGACGATACCAGCAAGCCGGGAGCCGCGTGCACCCGTGTCCGATCCTATCGCAGGTGCCGATGCGCCTCGCCGCGGCCGGCCGCCAGCCGAGCCGGCAGTGGGGCCATGGGCGCGACGGGTGCCGCCGCCGCCTGCGGCCCGTCCGTCCGCGCCGCCGACACCCACCACCAGCAGCCTGCTGCTCAATCAACAAGCGGCCTGCCGCGCCGCGTCCGGTGCCGGCCGGCGCGGCGCTGTCAGCCCGGGGAGACGGCGCAGCGCGCGCGATCCGCCGAGGCGACGGGCCGCGCCGGGCCGGGCCGGGCCGGAGCCGGCCGTCCCACCTGCTCTTGGCGGTGCCGTTCCAGCAGTTCATGATGCGCGCCGGCGGTGCCGCCATGTCGCGGTCCGTGCACAGCTGGCTGGGCAGGTCGTACCAGAACGTCTTCAGCGGCCGCACCTGAAGCGCACCGGTCACGCTCAGCGACCGACGTAAGCCACCGCACGTGGTCAGCAGCGGGACGGGAGGCGCCAGCACAGCACAGGTCACGTGGCGCGGTCAGCAACGGAAGGAGACGAGTCAGGCAACGTGGTCAGTACCGGCAGGTCACGTGCCATCGTCAGTACCGGGAGGACATGAATCACGTGACACGTTAGTCATGTGACCCACTGCAACGCATCGTTTGATAAATGTGTCGCCGGGAGACATTCCTGCCGGTCTCATCCCGTCTAGATACATCGGTCCCAGGAAATTCATACCACAAGAGATGTGAGAAGTCTTGAGACACAACCACAGGCGTTGTTTTGAAGAGTTCGGTTGGTCAAAAATGCATCATGTGAGATGACCTGGTCTATCTTCAGGGCAGAGGCAGTGCACAGCAAGGGCCTTCCCACTATAGCGTACGATGGCCGTCAATACTCTTGATGGCCACTCACTTATCCCCTCCATGCCCGCGTATCACGCGCGCGTTCGGTTAGAGCACCGTCCGCCCGCCAGCGCGAGGCCACGGTCACAGTGCGTGAGTGAGCGAGGGGTGGGGAGGGGACACCTACCTTGCTGCGGATCTGGCCGAGAACGCGCAACAACGGCGACGGCTGCTCGACCTCATGATCCGAATAGCTCTGCAGCTGCACCCTCTGGAAAGTCGGTCGTGTCGTAGGAGGGCGCGTCGCCGCCGGCCTGCCGCCGGCGCCGGAACTTGGGGTCGCCGCAGCCCTCGAAAATCTGCCGCCAGGCGTCAGCAGCGTCAGCCGCCAGCGGGACAGGGGCACGCACCGGCACCGCTGGATACCACAGCCACATACCTGACGCCAGCACCGGCGCCGGCCAGTGCCGGTACAGACGGCGCCATGCTGAGATGGCGCTGGCACCGCGCCGGTCAGTACCGGTACAGACGGCGCCACGCTGAGCTGGCGCTGGCACCGCGCCGGTCAGTACCGGTACAGAGGGCGCCACGCTGGGCTGGCGCTGGCACCGCGCCGGCCAGTACCGGTATGGAGGGCGCCACGCCGAGCTGGCGCTGGCACCGGCCAGTACCGGTACAGAGGGCGCCACGCTGAGCTGGCGCCGGCGCCGCGCCCGCTCCCACTGCGCTCAGCACAGACCAATAGCTTTTGGTGCCGGCAAAATCCTAACTTACGTCACCGGCTCAGACACTGCTACAGCGCCCTCTGCATCGATCTGGCGCTGGCTATGACGCTGTGGTGCCAGGCCCCAACCCGCCAAACACCCCACCCAAAGCTCTTGCCTGCGCTGAAAAATCCGACCGCACCAGCACAAAAACCCAGAGCTCGTCTTCGGGCACAGCTGGTGGCTACTCTCTCTCTGAGCGGCTGACGGCGCGGCTCACAACGCTCCCAGCCTCCGCGGCACCAGCGGGAACAGATGATCACTTGACAGGGGAGCAGCATTTCAGACAAAGTGAATCATGAGCGGCATGAATGAACCCCAGCCGCACACCAGACGGCGAGCCGACAGACGATTTCAACGCTCTGAAGACAAACCTTGCGCGACACGTCGTATCCGTTGTCCTGGAAAGTTCATGATGGCGTACGAGATTCTTGACGTTGATTGGACTAACGACCGACTCGATGTTGAACGGTTCCCTCAAGACGCGCCACAAGGTTCGTGATGCCATCTGCCGACAGAATGACGCACTTAGTTTCCAAAACGGTGGGGCGTGGGTGGCTACATGACTGACAGCAGCGCATCCACCGTGGAAATTGCCACAATTTTAACTGCCTGGTTAGATTGACGTGGCAACCGTAAACTGCACATATCGCGAACACGACAGATCACTCGTAAAACCAGAAGACTTCCTCCATCCGGATTCTCAAGAGACACAGGATGACACATTTGCGCCAGAGTTCAGCGAGCGAGTCATGCCATGGGTCAAAACTGACTCGCCTGCCCACAAGGCGCCGGATCTCGGCGACAAACTGTGCGTCCATCGGATTGTAGTCTTCCGACGTTTCCGATAACGGGTATCGTTAAGTCAAGAGAATCGTCTTGTAACTAGCTGGATAAGCTGAACGCCCCATGAACAGTACTCAGTGATCAGATCACATCATCAGCCTCGAGCCTGGACGTAGCTCCGCTTGTTGTTGTTAATAGGTGTTTTAGGGCGCGCCGACTGCGGTGGTCATTAGGCGCCCATAACGTAGCTCCGCAGAGCACGCCATATCCTGCCGCCTCATATACAAACCGGTCTCCTGCCTCTCAGCACTTAAGGGTTGGAAGAAAAACGCAGGCGTTTTTGAGGCGTCTCCATCAATTTTGATCAATACTCACCCAAGACATATGTAAATTGGCTTACTGCTGGCGATAACAAGCTGGTGATAATGACGACTGTAACTTGGGGGCGCACCGACACCGGAGGCCATTTGACGCCCCATTAAAACAATCAGAATAAGAAAATCACTTATCGTAATCATCAATGCAAATTAGTTCATTTTGTTTCCTAAAAATGCATGACCATGTGGTAGTCCAGCTTCTTTTCAGACGTCAGCATTATGTTAGCGCAGACACCCTGTGTCAGCGAACCATCCTGCTGCGTGACTCATAGCAGACAGACGTCGCTGACAGTTTCCATTTATACCGGTTTTAGAGGGCTTTTCGGCGCATTTGCTTCGATTTGAGCATTTTGAGCACGACACCAAAACAATCATCTTGTCACATCATCTCTGTAACAATCTCCTGCCGTATCCGCTTTTGCTTTGCTACGTCAGACAAGGCATCTTGCTGATAGCGGTGTGGTGTGAACACGCATTATGCGTTTTGATAACCAAGACCGCTTATTTTGATAATCAAGACCGCTCAATTCAAAATGTTTGAATAGCGTATTACCCAGCAGCTTCCCTGTCTTCATGAAATTTGCGTCGTGCGGTCACTGGGCATTTGACACATGGTGACGCAACTGATCATTGAAGTATGCGGCGGGGCAATGCATGCCGAGGTCAGGCCGTCTGGGTGGTAAATAACGTAACGATGCGTGCCGGTAGCCATCAGCAGCGCCCATATAACTTTTAACAGGGGGCTTCCTCGCGAGTAGTATGCCAGCAAATTTGCCAGCGACTAAATGCCGACATCAAAGCACGGTGCGCATTCCATGTCGCCCAGCAGGTACTTAAGCGAACACTCAAAGGAGTCTCACGCCCACTCAGCCTGAGTCAGACGACTAACGATAAAATCATTGCGCGGACATCTGTCGGGGCCTGCGCCCCTTCACGGAAGACACAAACCGGACACGGCACCGTGGCGGCGCCCATTACCGGCCGAGTGGCCGTCCAAATCGACGCCTGTTGTTTGGCCACTGGCCGCCTTCGACTATGGTTCCGGTCATATGTTCGGGCGCCAGTCTGTCGCGGCCTGACACGGGACGGCGCGGACCCGTGAGTCAGCCGATGACGCACGCCGCCCTGCAGTCGGGCTGACCGGGGCACGCCGCCACGCCGCGCCGCCCTCTTCTGAGCCAGACTCGCGCCGTCCCCAACGCCGTCAGTCGCCCCCGCACAGACTGGCACCCCGCCCGACCGGACCCAAATTGAGCAATTACGGCGCACTGGCCAGCGGCGGCGGCGGCGGCGGCGGCCGTGCGCCGCCAGAGGGCGCCGGTCGCGCCGCGCCCCCGCAATGAATAGAGCCTCCGCAAACAGGCCGCCAGCCGGGCGGGCCGGCCGGCCGGCCGGCAAAACAGGGTCCACGCCAGCGCGCCGGGGCAGGGGCGGCAGCGGCGGACTGTGATTACCGCCCGTATAAACAGGGGCGCCGCGTCCTCGCCCGATGTCAACTGTTATCTGGGGCCGACGCGGCGGCGGCGTTTTTGCCGCAGCAGGCGGTGACGGCCAGGAGGCGCGCGCGCCTCACGCGCCCAGCCGCTCTGCGGCGGCGGCTGGCCGACCGGCGCCCGCCAGCCTGCTGGCGCGGCCTCACCGGAGCTGGGACCAGCCGCCGCCGCCGGCTCCGAAGGCCAGAGACAGCGGCGAGGTCGGCTGCTCGTCAGGCGGCGGTGGCGGCGCGAGCGAGACGCGGCTCCAACGGCAGCGCGTGCGGCAGACGCCGCCGCTCGACGCGTCCGGGTGCGGCGCTACGGCATGTGACCCCCAACATGATGCCTCCAACGGGAGATCACAAACAAGAGCAATTTCATTCGACCAACAAACACAATTCAATCAGTTCGACTAAAAGGGGCGCGCAGACGCAGTTTGGGGCGCCCGATCTGACCCCGCTTGGTTACGGAGGGCTTCTCTTATCACCCATGTCACGCTCCTCTGTTCCCTGCACTAGCTACAGCAGTGGACGCTGGACCCGATGGCCGCTGCCGGCCGCTCACCGATAAACTCGTGCCACTGGTCGTTGAGCCGGCTGTGGTGCGCCAGGCAGCCCTTGATGACGTTGAGGCAGAGGCCATGGCACGCCTTCACCCGCGGCATGCCGTTGCAGGTGCCGCACTGGCTCATCTTCATCAGGGCGCTGCCGCAGAACGGCGTCACGTTCACCTGCCGAGGGATGGCCCGTGAAGTCAGAGAGGTGGTGGCGCCTGACGGCCACGGGACGGCCCGCCGCTGGCAGCCACAGACCACTGCTGTGCGCCTGGTAGTCGAGCTCAGTCCGGCAGTCGAGCTCGGCCCGGTAGTCAAGTCAGTCCGGCAGTCGAGCTCGGCCCCGTAGTCGAGCTCGGCCGCCGGTCGAGCTCAGCCCAGCGGTCGAGCTCGGCGGTAACAGTCGACCCTCAGCCAGGCAGTCGAACTCGGCCCGAGCTCGGCCGCGCTGGCCGGGCCAGGGCGCGCTGCGGTGCCGCGGTCGGAGAGAGCCGCCGGCCGTGCGGGTCAGCGCCAGAGATGCCGGCCCCGGCCCGGCACTAAACCCCACCGGTGATCGGGCGCCCGGCCGCGCCGGCCGACACGCATACCAATGGGCCGGGCGGTCCGCAGGCCCCGCAGACCCGGGCGCCGGCGGTGGCGCGACACATACCGAGCGGCCGCTAAAGCCCGGGCCGCTCGCCACCGCCGGCCGTGCTGGAGGTGCCGATTGGATTCCAGATTTTTGGAATTCCAATTTTTGGGGGGAATTCCAAAGCCTATGACACACGTTACTTATCACGATAATTTCCTTTCTTTTCATTCGATTCGAGTGAGGAATGCAGTGGCGCGAGTAGGGTAGGAATATTGATTTTAGATAGGAGTTAACTTGCATTCTTAAAAAAACTTGCACATTTTTGAAAAACGTGCTTCTTGGACACTTTGGCCGGCCAGATGGACCATCCTTGTTCTTTGCATTGACCTAACCGGGCCGAACAACACCATCAGGTCTCGGAACACGGTCTCCACTTCACTGCCTGCTCCGGCACACCATCTCTGTCCATCCCGCCCTAGCGCTGTGTTTGTTGGCCTGTCACTGTTACTCTCGTATGTTATCCGCCTCTCGCAAGGTGTCAGACACCACGCCCTGCTCTTCCATTCTGCCTGAGGCGCCTGCCCCTGTCTCGCCCAGCCGTCTGTTTGTCGTCGCCTCTGCCACTGCCATCCCCGGCGCGCTGTCGAGGCCCCGCCTTCGCCTCAGCCGCCCTGGCTACTCCTGCCGTCCTCGCTCCGCCCCTGTCAGACGCCTGTCACTCTGCCGTCACTCTGTGCCCGTCTCTGCACCTGGCGTCACGTCACAACTCTATCACACCGAGCATACGCGCCCGGTTCCACTCAGTGACCATAAGCGACGCAGCACGAGGACACTGGCTGTCACATCTGACTAAAACCACTCCGCTGACAGTTCATGGTCGTCAAACTGTAATACGTCGGAACAACGGGCCAGCTGACGAGCAATAACAGCGGTCTCGCCGACACAGCACGACAGCACCACGCCAAACCGGACCTTTGGCCCCGACTGTAACTCAAACACCAGTCAGCCCGTGCCGGCCGCTCGTGGGCAGCTAGCAGCCCGCACAATACCAACTCACTGGAGCCGCACAAAGGGCGGTGGCCGCAGGACCTACGCTCACGCCCACAGGCCGGCGCGTGACCGGAAACAGGACGGCGCGGGGCGGAGCGGGCGGCCCCCGCTCAGCGCCCCGCCGGCCTCTCAGTGGGCGCGGCCGGTCGCGGGCGACCGCGCCCCACACCTGACCACTGATCCGGCGGTCAAGCGCGGCGCCCCAGCCGGCGAGGAGCCGGGACGGGCGGAGGACCCGGAACAGGCAGAGGACCCGACAAGCAGAGGAGCCAGGACAGACGGAGGAGCCGGGACAGGCGGAGGACCGGGGCAGGCGGAGGAGCCGGGTCGGGCGGAGGACCCGCGAAAGGCGGAGGAGCCGGGGCAGGAGGAGGACCCGGGACCGGGCGGAGTCCGGACAAGCGGAGGACCCGGGTAGGCAGAGGGACCCGGACAGGCGGAGGAACCGGGACAGGCGGGGTCCGTTGCAGGCCGAGGACCCGAAACATGCGGAGGAGCTGCGACAGGCGGAGGACCCGGAACAGGCAGAGGACCCGGGACAAGCAGAGGAGCCAGGACAGACGGAGGAGCCGGAGCAGGGCGGAGTCTGGACAGGCGGGGGACCCGGGACGGAAAGGGGTCCAGATAGGCAGAGCAACGGCCCTCAGTAGTGTAATGCCACGATTCCGGGCAATGAGGACGAGCACAACCCCGGAACGACATGGAACCGCACACAGGCGCTCGGGCCCTGCCGAAGGGTCGGGATCTCCACAACGTTGCAGCATTGCTATCGTTTTCCGTACGTTTCGAATCACAACAGTTCCACTTCCTGTAGGGCACGCAGACTAAGACCCTGTGTCCTAACACGACGGGCGTACTCTGCGCTGTGCAGGTACCGGTGAAAAGTGCGCGCACTCCGTTCATCCACACAACAGCTGGTGACCGGTTAGAAGGCACCAGCGCGGTTGGATAGCCCTTTCGTGTCTTCTGGGGCGTCACGATGATCTGCTCGTTTTTGCTCCACATTAAATTGGTATCTGACACTTCGATGTGCTACTTTTTACACGCTATCATACGGCGGGTACTGATTTCATCATTTACCACTTTAGTACATCCACTTCTTTACACGTCCCGAGCTGGCCACTTACCACGAAGTCATTAAGCACACGGACTGTTTTCCAGCTCCCCATTTTGCGGTTCACATACCGCAGACAACAAAAAGACCGCATCATTACCACGGCATGCCTCCAGTCGGGACATCACTTAGCCCCGGCGACCGTGTGTCATCAAAGGGTGCAGATCTGGCACCCATCTCGGCCGGGGCGGTATGCGGACCAGCAACAAGTCGCCATCACGCCGGCCACGGCCTAGCGTCACACCATCTGGCCGGGCCGAACTCCAGGTACACTCCGGCCGGCGCCGCCGGCCAGCAGCTCCTCACAGCCGTTAGACGGGTTCAGCCACTCCCCACAGCCGGGAGACAGGGCCAGCCGCTCCCCACAGTCGTGAAACAGGGCCGGCCTCTCCTCACAGGCCAGCCGCTCCCCACAGTCGTGAAACAAGGCCAGCCGCTCCCCACAGCCAGTAGACAGGTTCAGCCGCTCCCCACAGCCGGGACAGGGCCAGCAGCTCCTCACAGCCGGTAGACAGGTTCAGCCGTTCCCCACAGCCGTGAGACGGGGCCAGCCGCTCTCCACAGCCGTGAGACAGGGCCAGCCGCTCCTCACAGCCGTGAAACAAGGCCAGCCGCTCCCTACAGCCGAACACAGCCCTCTCTACCCAGCCCCCCCCCCCCCCACAGCCATGACACATGGCTAGCCATCCCTCCCCCCGCAGTGGTGAGAGGGCCGGCCTCACAGCTGTGGCCGGGTCGGACAGGGTCAGCCGCCCCCTGCTCGGCTGCCCCGGTCTGCCATCAGTCAGCCACCCGTGCTCAGTCCGTCCCCGCCCACGCCGCCAATACAAATACACTCCCGCAAAAACAAGGAATGTCAGATCATGAATGTCTACGAGCGGCGTCTGCAAAAACGTCTAATTAATAGTCATTAATGGTGTGTCGGCCGGATGGGGGCAGCGGCCATGTGTGCCGGAGCCGGACAGAGCTCGCCGCGCGGCTGGCGGACGGCGCCAGCCCGTCACAGGAATGCGGTGCAGCAGAGGAGGAGTTCTCGGTCACACGGCCGGCCGGGCAACAGCCCCGGGGCGTGTCCAAGGCGGCGTCATGCCGCACCGTCTCTCGCAGCTGACGTCATGCCGCACCATCTCTCGGAGGTGACGTCATGCCGGACCGTCTCCCACAGCTGACGTCATGCCGGACCATCTCTCGGAGGTGACGTCATGCCGGACCATCTCTCGGAGCTGACATCATGCCAGACCATCTCGCTTTGCTGATGTCATACCGGACCATCTCTCGGAGGTGACGTCGTGCAGGACCATCTCTCGGAGCTGACAACATGCCGGACCATCTCTCTTTGCTGATGTCATGCCGGACCATCTCTCTTTGCTGACGTCATGCCGGACCATCTCTCGGAGGTGACGTCATGCCGGACCATCTCTCGGAGCTGACATCATGCCAGACCATCTCTCTTTCCTGACGTCATGCCGAACCATCTGTTGGAGCTGACGTCATGCCCCACCACCATTCAGAGGTGACACCGTCCACAGTATTGCGTTTCTCGGATATCAAGAGGCGGCAGATCTTCCCGGCGCGCGGCAGGTCAGCTCTTCTCACCCCGCACACACATAGGATTATCAACTATTTTCACGCCCCGCTGGGCACTGGACACCTGTTTTGACGCAAAATAACCACTTACGTCAGAGTGCCCTAAAACCACAATCATCATCATCATCATCAAGCCAAGCGGCGGACATCCGGGAGGAAGGCGACGACGGCGGGCGAAGACAACACGCCGCCGCCATGATACCGGCCGTCCGCGGGCGGCAGCGCAGCACCGGCGGTCACCGGCGGCCACCGCCAGGTGACGAGAGGAACAGAGGCGGCGAGCGGCGAGCAGCCAGAGTCCTCAGAAGGCCTCTCCTGTCCGCTTGTATCGAGCGTCGACGGTCGGCACACCGGCCGTGCGGCGGCACAAGGCGGCGCTCCCATTGATTTCCCGGCGGCGTCGGCAGCCATTCGTCAGCGGTCAACATCGCGCAGGGTCGCCGACTGTCGCCGCCGGCGGGTCGAGACTGGGGCGCGACCCGGGGCACCGGCCGGCCGGCGCGCAGGACCACTCACCGCGCCGCAGCTGACACAGACACAGCGCGCATGGGCACCCCACAACTGACACAGACACCAGGCACCGGGCAACCTCCAGCTGACACAGACACCCCACGTACAGGCACCCCACAGCTGACACACACACACACACCCAGCAGCGAGGGAGCATGGCTGACAGGGTCCCTGCTCTTGGACATCAACGGCAAGCACGCAAACGACAAGCAGGGGCGGCACGAACACCATGAAGCGAAACAGGCCCCTTCCACCTACCGTCTTCAGCCGCTTAACCACATCGTGGCCGGTGTTGAGGCTCTGCACCAGCGTGCGCGTGGCCACGAAGGAGCGCTTCAGCTGCTGCGTCAGCTTCGCCGGGACGTCGCGGAACGGCTTCAGGCCCTCCATGTGAGTGGCCACGCACTGCAGGTACCTGCGGAGGGACGACGGCGTCAGTCGGAGCGCGCGCCGGACACCTGCTTCGACAGCACTCTCAACTCCCGCCTTTCAACCTCCGGCATACATTCCGTCCTCTGCGGCATCAGAAGCCGTTTTAGGTCCCGTAACCGCCTGAGGCTATGTACACTCCCCTGACCGCGTTCCCACCGAGCTGCCGAATTCGTTGGAAGAATTCGAGCACCGCCAAGCTCCAAACGGCCTTGACCGTCATTTACTAAACTCTGGATCTATGTTTTATGGGGACAGGAGCCAGGAACAACATCGGGTAGCCGCTTCTTTGTTTTCCGTGTGTGTGTGATTGGGGCTTTACGACGCACTCAGCTGCTGATGCTATGTGGTGTCGCCTGCCTCTCACCCCGGCAGGAAGGGCGGGCCACCGCGGAGAATCGAACCCCGTACCTCTGGTTTCCCAGACGCGCAGTGGTTAACGCAGACGTGTTAACCACTACACTACCGGCACCCCCTTCTTTGTGTTCCCCTTGCTTATGGTGACTTCCGACAATTTTCGAAACCATTCCGGTACGTGTTCAGATCCTCTTCACTGGTTGGTGGCTGTGCTGCCCGCATTAGAGTTTGGGAAAGGTTCTGGGAGTCATTGCCGCTTTTCTCGCGTACTTGTGTGCTTTTCTGGACGCATTTAATTAAGCGCCCTGGGCTGGATTTTGTCAACTACCCAGGCTTCCACAGCATCGCACCTATGAAACGGTCTTCCTGGATACCAGTCCACACCAGGGACCCATAACCTATGTCGTGACTCTCACCATCCTTTAAGCAACTCACACATATTCCCAGCCCAGCTGGCCGCCCTCGTGACACCACCAAACACCCCAGAGGAGCACGTGATGTGTTTTCGGACTGTTCATCAGGCCTCTCCCATCCCAGACCGCCGTAACGAGTGCGTCTCGTCCGGGGCCCTGCAACGGCATCGCCCTCACCCGCGGACTCCAAGACAGCGCGCGAATCTGCCACAGCAAGTGTGACGGTGGCCTGTTGAAATACAACGATGCTATTCATTAGGGCAACCGATGTGCCGAAGCCTCACGCCTGTGGTGCTTGGAAGGACTGGGTGGCAACCCGAACGGGCGTTCGTCCCACATACAAAACACCCACTTATCATCGTTTCAGTCTACCAAGGACAAAGCGATGAAGTTAATGAACCGCTCGCCTCCAGTGCACCGCTTAGCTACGGGCGCACTACTTTTGAGGGGCGGCGCATAATGCCGTGTACCCCGAGATACAGTGACTGTGCGACTCCAGTACGTCGTCCCCAAGCCAGCGTCATCCGCCCATATTAAGGAACGAATACACGCACCATGGATGCACTGGTGCCTGGTGAGCCGACATTCAGTGGGGCGCCTGGTTTTTTAGACAACTTATTGCTGCAGGGACATGTTGTGCCCTCATCTAATTCTGGGACAACGAACCCCACAACAAAGAAAATGCATTGGCCTCCGTATCTTTCGCCTATAATAGCGTTACTGGCATCATGCTAGAATCACCAGTTCGATCTGCTCAGTTAACTCACAGTATACGGTACATGTGGGGCATGTTCAGACAATTAAAAACTGCTAGTGGCATTAACCAACTCTTAAAGAAAAAGCATCGAGGATCATACCCAAGGAAGTTGCTTGTTGAATGCACGGGTCAAATATATCTCAACGCAGCCACAAGCACACCAACACAAGCCACACCAACAACTCGACAGGACAACGGATCTACATCGAGTGCGCACGACTATTTAACCGTTTACAGTCCGACTGACGTCAGTTTCAACAGCCCTTCAACACGCATCCGTTTTCAACAGACGCCGACTGCCCGTCCCGGCTGTACGTACAGAGGCACGGCAATCAGGGGCTCTTTGCCTCCCGCACGGATTACTGCGAACATTTTAATCGCATGCCTTTTCCACAACAATTTCCGTCATCACGAAACCAACCAATTTTTAGAATAAAAACCCTCTGACACGCATGCAAAGGAATGTCTGCTCCCCGTCCGATCGGATGTTTAATCTTGTAATGGATCAGAACACATCTTAGATGCGGTGCATAATCTAATTAGGACACGCTCTATCTAATGGTTTTTTCGCTTGCATTTCATGCTTTTCGTGACGCGTCAATCTCGTTTAATACAACGAAGAGACGGTGCCCCACCATCTGGGCTGGGCGCGGCTCCGTTGGCGGGGGTCACCACCCCGAACATGGTCTGGTGTTCATTCCCGGCAGCTGGATGGAATATGAAATGTCTGCTGTCAGTGTTTGTGTCATGTCAAATGTCATGTTCCGTGGTTCGCTGGCTGTTCCAAGAGCTTTCAAAAGATGAACAGCGAGCACGGGAAAAGGCCATCTCCCAGAGTTAGGTTTCCCATGCCCAGACAACTGGTATTCGTGGAGAGCTACAGGATACATCAAGACAGCGGGATCGCACTCGATTGTGTCGACAAAGTCCATGGATTGGAAATGCGAGACATGAGATGGTCACGGGTCAGACAATTACACGCCGCTCACGTTAACAACGTTATCGCCCATTCTCTTCTAACACCCAAAAACACTAAAACACAAGACACAGCCAGCCATGACCGGGGAACCGGGCCCAGACCAGTGTCGATGACCCGGGGCGGCCGTGCACTGGCCCGGCCGGTGCGGCACACGAGCGCGCCGCCCGAGCGGTCCGCACTGCACCCGTCGCCTCCCGCCTCGGGCCGCCGACCGCAGACCGGCGCGCCCACCCGGTCCGAGGCCCGGCCAGCGTCGCCGGGTAATTTGTGGACGCGCATCACTCGATTACGGACGCAGTTAATTCAGGCCAGTAAAATCCGGGACCCCGTATAAAGACGGCGGGCCCGATACCGGTGCCGGTGGCGGTGGCGGTGGCGGTGGCGGTGGCGGTGGCGGTGGCGGTGGCGGTGGCGGTGGCAGTGACGGTGGCGGTGGCGGGTGGAAGGCACCGGGTGGATCGGCAGTGGCGGCGTGGCGGTGGCGGGTGGAAGGCAACCGGTGATCGGCAGTGGTGGCGGGTGGCGGTGGCGGTGGCGGGTGGGAAGGCCACCGGGTGATCGGCAGTGGCCGGCGGTGGCGGTGGCGGTGGCGGTGGCGGTGGCAGTGGCGGTAAGCGGTGGCGGGTGGAAGGCACCGGGTGATCGGCAGTGGTGGCGGTGGCGGTTGGCGGGTGGAAGGCACCGGGTGATCGGCAGTGGCGGCGGTGGCGGTGGCGGTGGCGGTGGCGCTAGCGGTGGTCGCGGTGGTCATAGACCGGTCCTACACCTCGGGGGACGGCTGGGCACCGTACCGCTCATACATCATCCACGGATTTGATATCCATTCCCAGTCCCGGGGAAACCGGCCGGAGTTCTATGGTGACGCGAATTGGCGAGACTCTCGGACAAAGCTGAACGATCTGAGGAAAGGCTGGGAATGGGAAGGCATCAGCGAAATGGACGGGGGGGGGGGAGGGGCTGGGGCATTCCAAACGTGACCACATCGTCAAGGTTTACGGTTAAAACGAATGACTGTCTGAATAAACGAATGTGTATAAAATGGCGACGAGGCAGAAAGAGCAAACGCAGAATGAAGCTTTGGTGTCTTGTTCAACCGAAAATATTTTTTCTTCTTACACTTTCACCGTACCCAATACCGGAAACCCTACGCCATAATGCTTCACATTTTTCAGATAAATCATCGTAATATGATCGCACTATTAAAAGACCCGAACACTCCTGACTGCCACTTTCTCCGCTGCCTCCAGTTCGCCTTCATTTTCCCACCCAAACCCCTAGGCTGCTTTGTTATCTAGGCTGAGAGTGCCCATTGCCTACACTGTTCCTGTTGCTACAGTATTACAAATGCAATCATAAATCAGGCGAGTATGCGGTCTAAACCTCTTCAATAACTCAAAACATCCAGCGCGGTTCATAAAACTCACAAAAACACTTACATTAGGCAGGGTCCTGCCCCCCCCCCCAAATGTCAGTTTAAAAAAACCTGCTCGCTGGCGTCAACACCAAACAATTCTTTGTTGGGCTAAGCTGGTGCAATTGCACGCATATTATCCGGTAGTAGTCCGGGGTCCTATGCCAACCGATGTAAAAACACCTCCATTAAGCTTGGCTGTTTTTACCTCTTGATGCTCCAATTTCTCATACGGCCTTTCTCCTGCTCCGGCCTCTATTCGTCACGAGAAGGCGACAGTGTCCGCTCTTCAGGCCAGAGGATGAGGGGCAGACGCCATCTAGCCCAAGCAGAACTGTGTGTTGTAAAGCCACAACGGCATACAGCATATTCGTGATCGACCGTAGAAGCAGAAGCGCGTAAAGAATAAAAAGAAACGTAAGCTTTTTTGTCCACAAAAAACGGCCAATTCGTGCACGTCTCGAAGTTAAGCATTCTTGAAATTCCATTCAAGTTAAGCCAACTACGCCGATGACTTAAACCACGGACTAGGCAACGCTGGCGTAATCTTCTGAGTCCCTTAAAACTTCATGATAGTTTTGAGCTTTTCTGCGCGAAATGTGGCCAAATAAGCGAGGGGTTCGAGAAATCACGCGTGTAGATGGAGAAAACAGTCATCCGCCTAAAATACGGACAGCTGCTGTCAAACCTTATAGCAAATAGCCATTTTTGGGAATGACGTCCAAATAACACAGGGCAATTCTTAATAAATTAACAGAATAAAGGCATAAACTGGAAGAAAAAATCCAACTCAAGGAACAAAAAACAGCTAAAATAATCGTTTCTTTCACGTTTAACGGAACTGCAAAGCGCAGGTGTTACTACCACCAGGCCACACCATTGTGCCCAGCTTCGACCAAGTGGAGTGAAGCCGCCTCCGACGTGGCGTGTCTGGCTCCAGTCGCGTATCTGGCTCCAGTCGTTTGTCTGGCTCCAGTCGTTTGTCTGGCTCCAGTCGTGTGCCTAGCTCCAGTTGTGTGTTTGACTCTAGTCGTGCGTCTGTCTCCAGTCGTGTGTCTGGCTCCAGTGGTGTGTTTCACTCCAGTGGTGTGTTTGACTTCAGTCGTGTGTCTGGCTCCAGTCGTGTATCTGGCTCCAGTCGTGTGTCTGGCTCCAGTGGTGTGTTTAACTCCAGTGGTGTGTTTGACTTCAGTCGTGTGTCTGTCTGCAGTCGTGTGTCTGTCCGCAGTCGTGTGTCTGTCTCCAGTCGTGTGTCTGTCTCCAGTGGTGTGTTTGGCTCCAGTGGTGTTTGACTTCAGTCGTGTGTCTGTCTGCAGTCGTGTGTCTGGCTCCAGTCGTGTGTCTGGCTCCAGTCGTGTGTTTAGCTCCAGTCGTGTGTCTGGCTCCAGTTGTGTACACGGCTCCGGTACAGCCAGGCAGCCCCACAGACAGGCCGGGCAGCACCGCTGAGCCCTTCTGCTGCCGGCGGCAGCCGCTCGGGGAATGTGTGCACCGGGTAATTAGAGCGGGCCGGCGCGGCGCGGCGGCTGCCCAAGGTCGGCCAAACAATGGGAGACGCTTCGACTCGCCCGCCGCCTTCCTGGGGGGTCCGCCAGCCACAATTTATATCAGACACCGTGGCCGTCATACGTTACAGAGCGGCGCGTCCGCCGATAATTGCCGGGGTCGGATAATGCCTCTATTAGGGGCCGACCGGTCAGAGCCGGTCTGGTCGGGGCCGGCCTGGTCCTGTTCGATCATGCCGACAGGCCTGGCGTGATCAGGTCCAACCGCGCCTGATCAGACACGGTCTGGCCAGGTCCGGCCAGGTTCTGTCCGGTCATACCGACAGGCCTGACGTGATCAGGTCCAACCGTGCCTGATCAGACACAGTCTGGTCAGGCCCGGCTTGGTCGGGCTCGAACCGGCCATACCTGACCAGACCCAGCCAGGTCAGATCCGGCCCGGCCATACATGATCAGACCCAGTCTGGTCAGGCCCGAACCGGCCACACCTGATCAGACCCGGCCTGGTCAGGCCCGAACCGGCCACACCTGACCAGACCCAGCCTGGTCAGGTCCGGCCCGGCCATATCCGATCAGACACGCCCCGAACGAGCGGCGTGTCAAGTCACAATGGGCCTGTTGAGTTCGGCCCGACACCCCGCCAGGCAGCCGCATCGAAGCGACCACACCGGGCCGCGTCTACATCCCAGCTGGCGGCGAACGCAGCCTCAGGCTCGGTCTGCAACATCTTGGTCAACGCACGTGGCGCCCGCAGTGTTGCACGGATTCACTCGCGAACAGCAGCTGGCGAGAAACGGTTCGGTTTTTGCTTTAGTCAAGCTGGGGCGGCACGAGAGGTGGGAGTTCCCTCCCAAAAGAACACGTTGTCGAGCACCCTTTCATGGCGCGCCAGCGACCATCGCGGCCATATTAACACTGAAGGTTCCAGGCGTGACCGAGATTCGAGCCCGGGCCCCACGTGGGAGCCAAGGGCGGCGATATCACCCGGCCAGACGCTCATTATCCCATAAATACATCCATTTTTGGCCCACCTGAACACTCTCACCTGGCTGTACCTCGTATCATCTAACCGCCCCATCTTATCACTCAGTACAATAAAACAACATAAAATGATGTCGAGATAATCCAGTGTAACCCGACAGAGGAGAGTCACTGTCATATCTCACCAGATGGTGTCTCTAAGACTTCACACTGCTTGGAAACATTATCTACCCCATACCAGACGTTCAAATGTTTATAGGTACTTCAACAACCAGCCAGCACAGGCCCGTCATACGAATAAACTGGCGAAACCCGCATATAACAGGCATTTTTCCTCTAGACGCAGGCAACGTCTCCTTGGCGTCAATCATAAGGTTGGTGAAGAGAGATGCTCCAAGAGCATTGGTTGCCAAGCGCAATGCTGTGCGGTGTATGGAGGCTGCCAAACAGTTGTAGGTGGCGAGCGAACGGCCACCTACAAATATATATATATATATATATATATATATATATATATATATATATATATATATACATATATACATACATAACAGTAAAAAATGTCGGCCCCGCTCAGTGAGAAGGGCGTGCATCACACTTAGTGTAGCATGTAATGTAGTTTTAATGTAGTATTAATGTAATGTAGTAGTAATTGTAACATCATACAAAAGATGTGTGATGCCAAATGATGATCAATATGTATGTGCAGGGCGGATTCCATCACATCGCATGGGTATCGGTTGTCCAAACGATGTAGTGCAATAAAAGAACGCTGATGCATGCGTAGCCAAGAGTGCATGAAAACCGTCTGCTGTTGACAACCAAAAATCATTCGATGGCCTCTACGTTTGTGGACGGGTCAGAGCACACTGCAAGTGGCGTGACGCGGACGCCGTGGCTGACGAGCTGCACCCAATGCCAAGGTCGTCGGCGGTGGGAGCGGTGCCACGCAGCCACGCCTGCCAGCCGGCGGCAGCAGCACACTGCATGCGCGCCCCGGGTCCCGGCGCCTCTTCGGCCCCTAAGCGCCGCGACTGGCGACCATCGAGACGGGGCTGAGCGGCCGCATTCTTCACCGTGTCATCTACATCAACAGAGCCTGGGTCGCGTAGCGTCCGCGGCTGGCTTTCGTTTGTTTGCATACACCGTCGGCGGAGGCGTCAGCAGCACAGAGGCCAGAGTCGACGCCCGCTGACAGCCATGCTCCTGGCCCGGCATATCAGATCCATGCTTACTCCACAGATAAGGCAGCGAGGACCAGCGTAACTCACTTGTCGTCGAACGTGTGCTGCGAGTTGAGCACGGTGAACATGCGCTTGTACAGGACGGTGAAGAAGTCGTTCATGACGTCCACCAGGTCGCGCGAGCCGGTGGCGTAGTACAGCTCCAAATCCTTGAACAGGTCGGTGAAGACGTGCGCGTTCCGCTCGTACAGCACGCCGTACGTCTTCTTGAACATGGCGTCCAGCGCCGTGCGCGACTCATTCATCAGGCTGCGGAAGAACTCTGCGAAGGACAGACAGGACCGGCGTCAGAGGTGGTGGCGCGGCGCCGGCGCCGGCTGACGGCGCTCCACCGCCCCGGCCGGCCTTGCACGAGCATGAGATCACTCCCCGCCGCCCCGGTCCGGCAATGAGACCGTTCCGGTGCCTGGCCGGCGGGCCCGCTCCGGACCGCCCCTCTCTGAACGCCGGCCGTAACAATAAATAACCAGGCATCATAATTTTGCGACGAGCTCCGCGATGGCGATGCGAAGAGGCGGCTGTAGCCGCGGGGCCCGCGGCCGCGCCCCGCCCCGGCCCATCACTTAGTCCAAACGGCCGGCTAAGCGCCGCGCCATCGGCCACTTCACGACGCTCCCGGCCCGGCCCCGGACAAAATGAAAACATTGCTCGCACCGCAACGCGTAAAACAAAGCGGCCGAGGTCGTTGGGCCGATTTATTGGCGGCAGCCGTGTGTACACACCGGCGCGGACCGGTACCGGTCCGGACCGGACCGAGAAACCGCGGAGCGGTGCCAGTCTGGACCGGGGCCGGGAACCGCTGGACCGGTACAAGTCGGACTAGGTCGGACCGTGACGGGCATGCAGGCGAGAATGGGTCGCGATGGGAAAGGAATGCCACCATGCGTGACGGCGATGATACGCCAGAGCAGGCAGTCGTGAGGGCACAGTAGGGATGGGGCGCACCCGACACCACGGTAAAGAGACATTAGCAGACACCGAGCGCCCAGTCACGTTTGTGAAGGTCGAGTCCTGTGGGACATCCACACGCTGACAGCATCACAAAGTTTCGCGACAGATCGGTCGGTGCCTGACATCCCCATCTCTCTTGTGAGCTTGATGTCCATTGTCTTGGCGTTAACTCATGGGCTGAACCGGCCACGGCGCTGCAGCCAGATCAGACGAATCATGGCTTTGGGCGACTGCAGTACAGTGCAGCCGTCCGAAGCCATGGCGGTGATAAGTAATTAACTAAAGTGAGGCGTGTCAGCGGCTTCGAGTTGCTGACAGGTTTCAAAGAACACACCGCATGGTTCTTTCTGGTGGTTTACATCTCGCACTAAAGCAAGACAAAAGTACAGATCATGAACACTGAAAACCATAAATTGTCCAGGCCGCAGGGAACTGAGTTTGAGCCCTAGTTTACCCCAGTTTTTCTTTTCCTCTTTGACTTTGCGGGTGACCTTTTATTGTGCTTCCATCCCTGATTTTGTACCAACCCCAACCTATACGCCTTTTTTACATCTTCATTGCTTGATACTTAATTCTGTCAGAGATAAACGGCAGATAACACTACAATGAAGAGAACAGACCAGCGGAGGACAGATGACGAGACAAGGCCAGTCCGCAAACTGAAGAGAAACTACACGTTCTGGGACGAGCCCAGACACGCACCGGGAGGCCGCAGGCGGCCAAGCCGAGGCAGCGGCCGGCGCCGCCAGAGGCAGGCCGCCGCCGCTGGTGGTCCGGTGGTCGGCGCGCCGCCGGCCACTCAGCGGCAGGCGAGCGCCAGCGCCGACACGGGGGCGCTCTCGTGACCATCAGGGCACCCGGTGCACGCCGAATTACTGCAGGTAATAGCGCGATCTGCGTAATTTGTGCATTAGCCGGTGGCTGCCGTGACGGCAGGCCACTCGCCGCCGCCGAGCTAATAGCGGCGGCGGCGGGCGGCGGGCGGCGCGCGCCCCGCCCCGCCGGCCCGGCCCAGCCCGCGCCCCGCCGCACGGAGGGCGGCGTCTCGCGCCGGCCACCCGGTGCGGAGCGCCGCACGCCGCCCCAGCGCCGGGCACGTCCATAACTGCTCCACTCTCGGCCGCCTCGCGGTAATGAAGCCGCCATAAACGGCGCATAATATCCGGTCTGGCGCAACGTCGGCTTCTGGCGGTCGCGCCAGGTCCGCCGGCTATCTGTATGAAACGCTCGGTGCCCCATGACACCGAGCTGGAGCGAGATAAGGTAGATCAGCGAAGTGGTGAAAGAGTGAGGTAGAGAGAGACAGAGGAGGAAGGAGAGCGGTAGCCCGGTTCGGGAGAGTCGATAATGGGGCGGCGTCCATCGCCACTGAAAAGGCCACCCGTCCCCTCCCCCTCCCCCAGCCCACCACACTTTCCGGACGACAGCGCTCGAGCTCCCAGAGCCGGGTATCTTTTCTTCCAGCTGATCAGTTGGTGACGGGTCCGGATGCGGCGCCACGTCATCCGTCTTCATTCATCGGGAGGCCGGTTCGCATCCAGCCGTGCGCGACTAACCTCATCAGAGGGCCGCATAACAGAGGATCAATCTGCCAACAGAGGCCCGGTGCGGCGCGGACGTGCTGGAATCCGGCGGGCCGGCGCGGGACGCCTGACGCCCGCCGGCCAGCCGGCTCCGGCGCACCGCCCACGACCGGGCGGCGCGGGCCGGCGGCCGCGCCGCCCGTCAGGGGACCGCACCGGTCCGGTCCGGCCCGGCTCGCAGGCGGGGATTCCAGGCACGCCGGCCGGCCGCCTTCTCACGATTCCCGCCGGAGATACGTGGGCAAAAAGGCCGGCGGTTCGACCGGCGCGGCGCCGCCGGCCGGCTCCCTTTGTGGGAGAGGCGGCGGCGGGCGGTGACGGCGCGGTCTCGACCGGCGCCCGGGTCGGCCGGGTCAGCCGCCGCACCTTCCCGAGACCGGCCCATCGGCTCAGCATAACCCGCCCCCCCCCTTCCGCCCCCCACCGTGAGTCATGAGAATAACGGGTGGAGTAGTGAGACCCGCCGCCCGCTCAGCCACACTGCATGATCACTCAACCAGACCGCCCCGTCTTGTCGCTTTTCGAGACTTAATAACGGCGTTTAGGCCCTGACAAGCACGGACTAAGCATGAGGTGCCTTGGCAGCACGAGAGTCATTCCCGACGGCATCGCCATGCGACGCCTGACACCGCGCCAGCGATCCGTGCAAGGCGATCAGCCCGTTGCTAGGAGCCGCCATCCTCGGCGGCCAGGTGCCGACCGGCTCGTCTCGCCTCCGTGCCCGCTCGCGCCCCGCTGCAGGGCGCCCGGCGACCGAGCGGCGCCAAACACGAGCAGCCGCCGTCGGGCGGCGGGCGGACGCCTGGCAGTCGACAAAGGGCTGCGCGCACGTGGCTGCAACCAATACGGGCCGCTCGACAATGGTCCAGATGGGCACACATCGATCGAAGTACGGAGCCCTGTCTTGACTTAACAGGGGATGGCGGTTGCCTCAGCTTCGGGTGACTTCCTCCTGTCTTTGTCAGACGAATCTCTGAACGGTGCCAGGGCCAAGGTCCGCAGGTGAGGCTACTGTCTCGATCACCAGCTGCACAGCACGATCCCGTGACAGGAACGGTGCAGCAGCCCAGCAACCATTCTCATTGTGCTGACGCGAGACAAGGGACTTTGGTGGATTGAAAATCGACCTCCTGGAACATCATGAGAACTACTTCACGCCTTTTAAGCAGAGGTTTGCTTGTGATAGGCGGCCACTCCATGATGTTTGTTTTGAGATGCGGGTCATTCTACAAAAACTGTACTAGCGCCGTCAGTCTACACGAGTACCGAGCAGCCGGACAGTTGCAAGGGCAGCCGCGGGGCGGGACGAAACGCCAGTCCGGCCGCCAGCGCCGCCGGTGCCGCACCACCAGGCTGGTGTGGCGCGGCGACGCCGACAGGCCCCAGCCGCCGCCTGCGGTGACGCACTGCTCGCCGCGCCGGGTCTGGCGGCGCTCGCAACACACCCCAGTGGAGACCCGTGTACACTGGAGCTCGTGTACACGGGTCAGCGCGGCCGCATCTGACCACGAGTCAGTCCTGGCCGATGTCTGCCCGGGTGGTCCCTGGTCCGGGCCGGCGGACGGCCTCCTCGGGGTGGTCCAGCGCCCGGAGAGCGTGGGACAGCCCGAGCTCAGAGAGCGGACCACCGGGCCGGTCAGTAGCGGCGGCGGCTCGCCGCCCGCGCGTCCTGCCGCTTCGTTCCGGCTGAGCGCGCCCGTCGCCCGGCCGGGCCCGACTGTGCCGCCTCCGACGACCCGGCGACCGGCCCGACTGTGCCGCCTCCGACACCCGGCGAGGCCGGCGGACCGTGTCTCATGGCGCGTGATTCAGGCCGACTCGAGCGGCGCCAAACACCACCGGCACGCCGTCCAACGAAAACGCACGCGACGAGACGCGAACGTCGGCACGGCCCCCGCCCCCTCCCGACGACCGGCCGCCAGGCACGTCAGCTCGCGGACGCACACGCTCCAATGCAGCCAGCCAGAAGCCGAGGCCTGCGCTGACGCCTACACCGTCATACTTTGAGCCCCCCCCCCCCGTCCCTTCCCCAGACAACCACGGTGCGAGTACCGCCATCGACATCCACCTGCGTGCTATCAGATGCTAGTGGGTCCGAGAAAAACGAGGTAATACCGTGCGAAGCATGCTATTAACTCAGACGCAGAGAAAAAGAACATTTTGGACATAGATGGATCATGAGGAATTTGGTCAGAGCCCCAGCATGCTCAAGCGACTTTCCTTCTGGCAACATCAATCAGTTGATCCTGCATTACTACGTTCATCGCTTCACATCCTTTTCAAGTGCCCTCAAACGCACTAATTCGCGATTTTTTATCTTCGCTCTTTACGGCGCGAACCGATGGGTAAAAGTGTTTCAATCTCATCCAGCAACACTTCGTTAAGCACACAATAAAGTGCACCCTCAATCCTGCAAATGTTCCCGTCGTTACCAAAAGCTTATTAAAGAAAAGGTTGATACCGGTGTGATGCCTTAAATTATACGACACAAGACGTCGCATGCTCCTCCTGAACACTCACAGCAGGATATTACAGCGGGTGTAACACCGGCGTAGTTAGCGCCTTCAGCTCCCACGTGGGGGCTGGGTTCGCTTCCGGTCACGCCACGGCCACCCAGCGCGAATATAACCACCACAGTCGCTGCCACTCTACCAAGGGGTGCTCGAGCAAGTGCATTGCATTCCCCACTTTCAGTGACATTCCGATTTTTTTTGTCATCGTGTGTCATTTGAAAAAACAGCCGTGGGCGTGGCCTCTGCCAGCTCACCAACCTATTTTCATGGCTGGGACGCGCCACAGGCTGGCTGACTTAGTGATGATGATTTGGAGTTTTAGGGCGCATCGACTGCTAGAGGTCATGCAGCGCCCATAACTATGGCTGGCTGACTTAAATACCGACGCATGCGCTATCTTTCGAACCTTCAAATTTGGCGCTGAATTCGGAATCACCGTGTCGAGCTAAGGATAATTACCATGACTGGATCATTCGGATTTTGCAATTTAATCATGTATACCACGCTCACCCGGCTTTATCCCTGGCGGCACGCGCACACGTATATATTACACATACGCATATTACGCATATATATATATATATATATATATATATATATATATATATATACGTGTAGCACACCTACGTGCACGTGTATATACGCGCACACGTACACCATGCTCACCCGGCTTTGTCCCTGGCAGGACGTGCACACGTATACCACGCCCAGCCGGCTTTGAGCCACGCCCCGGTGGGCTACGATGGCGTCGGAGCTCCAGTGCTACTGGACCATGGCAGGTATAAGATCACTCGATACTCGCATTACTTGTCACCGGCAAAGCAAGTAATGGACATAAAGAACGCAGGACAACCTCGCGCTGAGAGGCTCCATTTTGGCGATTACCGCACCATAATGCACTTCTGTAGGAACATATAAACGTATTTGTCACCCATTAGACATGGTAATAACCCCTTGTTTTTTTCACAAAGTACCTTGGATGTGTATCACACTCTTGCATCCATCTGCAGCTGTACTTCCTCCTGCTCGTATTGCACTCTTCAGCCAGAGCACTTTATTATCATCTAGGGCATATTCTGAGTTCACATGTGTGGGTATTAAGGCAATACACGGGACTGACATGGTGCCAAAACGAGGGTTGGTGAAAACTCATGCGAGGCTCCCAAGAAAGTTTAAATGTCATAAGCGTGTATCCACGATGACTTAACGCGCACATGGTCATCGGTTTCAAAGAGCCCCCCCCCCCCCCCCGACTTAAGAACATGTCATCACCCTCTATCGACAGAAGAGGCCCGAACAAAACTCAGTGGAGGGGGCGTCGATCTGCAAGCCTCAGAGGACCAGCGAGTTCCCAAGGTCGTCTGGATCGTCAAATAATTATCCACAGCTCGCCAACGGACGGTCCTAATTCGGTGCCAATTCGATTCGTCTACGGGCCATGGGCCATGAGTCACGGGCACGCAGGAGGGGGGTGGGGGATGGGGGTGGGGAGGCGCCCGTCCACGCCCCAAAACGCCTTCAAGTATGCTGGTGCTTAAGCGAGCACTGCAGTGCCTGAAAGTCTCGCGACGCGCGACAATAATCAGAGACTAACCAAAACTACACGTCCTTTTCGGCAGCCTCCCAGTTCATTTCGCAGCAGCGATGGCGGCTTGCCCATTCTGGGGAGGGGTACGGCTGTGGTGCGCCGGTACGCGCGTGTCACTCCGGCCTGCCTGGCGGGGCGCTGATCGCCAGCTGCCAGCTGCCCTGCCTTGCCCGGCCCGGCCCGGCCCACTCCGGCCCATCCCGAGTCCGCGCCGGAAGCAGGGCTCTCACGCCGTCAGCGCCCCCCGCGCCAGCTGAGAGTAGCACCGCACCCGAAATAGCCGGCTCTCCCGACGACAGGCGGACCGGGCGGCGCGTACATCGGACCGGAAGAGCGAGCCGCCCCCGGCGCGGCCCCGGATCAGCCGCCGGTACGGGACGGGCGCCCGCCGCCGGCCGACCGGCCGAGCCGGCGCCCGGCCGCTCGGCCCGGCCGCGGCACGATCAATGGCGGCCCGGGGACGCCGGTTCGGCGGGGCGCCGCGCGGCCGGCCACACAGCGCGTGGCGCCGACGGCCCAGCTCTCCCCGATCCGCTCGTTTCCAATTACGGCCGAGTTCTGGCTCTGGCGGCGGCCGCTGATAACTGGGTGACTTCGGGCGGGCACCGGCGCCGACGCCGACGCCGCGCGCCGCCAGCAGCGGCGGCTGGGACAGGGAGCGGCAGCTGCTGTGGCAGCGCACGCGGACGGGTGGAGGGAGGGCTGTCTGCCCCTGAGGCGGAGGGGGATGCGGCTAACCAGCCTTCGCTGTGGCGGACCGGTGGTCGCCACAGGCCGGGCTGGTCCCATGCACCTAGGGCTGGGCCATCAACGGCTCACGACCGGGCCTCTAATGCCGCAAAATCAGCCGACTCCAGACAGGTCAGGACTCTAAATTCCAGACGATACTCAGGTAAAGCCTATCAGCTGCGTTCCAATCAAACGATGGCTTGATCACGAGGCACATGTTACTGACACTGTCAAGTCAAGTGAACTAAGCAGCTGGCTACTTTCCACGGCTGTGATTATTACGAACAATACCTGGCAATAACATAAATGATTTTCAATGTTTTAAACACTGTTTATACACTGTAAACATGCGTATACACTGGTTGAACAAACGGTCTGACCAAAATTTTTCATGTTATTCAACGAACAATTTCGCCAAGCTGAAAAATGGCTTAAACAATGATAGCCCATCAAAAATGGAGCTGCTGAATAACAAGCGTCACACAAATATAATTATGCCGAGATAGAAAAATTAACAACTTTGCGAAATTTTCTGAGTAAATACTTATCGGTACGCACAACACCACAGTGGAATTGCATAAAGACGCATTGGGTGAATCAACAATAACATACAAACTGTAGTTTGCTTGCTAATCTACGTGTCCAGCACAAAGAGCAAGTCTGAGAAACATTTGGTGAGATGACAGTAGGTCAAGCAGGAATTTAAAGAAGTGGACACACATTTCCTCATTGGTACTTCGGCGGTCCCTACTCTTGATGCCATGATCAGTCATTCGTTTCGGGCTGTCTGCAATCGAATGAACTGCGTGGCAACGCCATCGTCCAATATTTTTGCTGATTGATCTATTACGTGTCTATCACAGATAGTCAAGTCCCCATAGAAAACCCAAGCTAAAAAAGTACTTTAACAAGTTTCTTCTTTGTTGAACCCTTCTGGAATACAAGGAGAAATATCGGCCACATCCGCGAATCCATTTGCTAGACGTGTGTCTGAGTTTTATGCACGGCTGCCCCAGCGTTGCATCATGCTAAGGAAGCCATGAGAACAAAGTGATGACCAACACATGTTCACATGGTAAAACAACACTTTGTTTGTCATTTGCAGCCCAGCGCAGCCCAACCAAAGTCGGGCCCGTGCAACAGCGGCGACCTACCGTCGAAGCTGGATCCCTGCGAGCCCATGTCGTCGGCCACTTCCTCGACGGTGCGTCGGACGGCGGCGTCCAGCTGATGGCGGGAGTACTGGCTCAGCTGCAGCTCCATGCCCTCTGTGCAGCAGGTGCGCGCGGCGGAGCAGATCTGGAGGTGATCACCTGAGGACGGCGGCAGACCAGGTCAGGCTCACAGTCGCAGCCGGCCGACACTGGCGGCAGACCACGTCAGCCTCACTGCCGCAGCCGACGGCAGACCAGGTCAGGCTCACTGCCGCAGCCGGCCAACACCGGCGGCAGACCATGTCAGGCTCACTGCCACCGCCTCGTACAGTGCCTCAGTGGCACACCAGTTGGGATTTTGATAAAGCTGTCAAATATCGCGTCTGTCCATTTAAAAGTCACTTAGACTGTTTTTTTTCAGACAAACTTCCGTGCACAATTTGTCTTTTAAACTTGAAACTAAGACAACTTAAAATGTCAAAAAATGTAGGCAAAACCAGGACCTCCCTCCTTGAATCCCACACATCCATCCACAATTTTTGTTTTTGTTCCATGGTTACAACGCCAGACGTCTCCGGGGGCCAAGATCACTGACAACCACGGAAACCGAAGGACCACTAACAGCTGGTAGACATGAGCGCCGAGCGAAGCGCCGGAGGCGGGCGAGCCATGAGGGCCAAACCAGCCAGCTCAGTGGGCTGCCAGAGCCTAGTGAGCCAGAAGAGCCAGGAGTGGAAACCGGTGAGCTGCCAAAGCCAGTGAGCTGCCAGTGAGCCACGAGGGCTAACTGAGCCGCCAGAGCCTTGTGAGCCACAAGAGCCTAGTGAGCCACGAGAGCCAAGCGAGCTACAAAAGCCATGAGTGGAACCGAGTGAGCCGCCAGAACCGAGCGAGCCGCGACAATCGAGCGAGTCGCCAGAGCCAAGCGAGCCGCGACAATCGAGCGAGTCGCCAGAGCCGAGCGAGCCGCGACAATCGAGCGAGTCGCCAGAGCCGCGAGGCGCCGTCGGCGGGCAGGGTGGAGCCGGCGCCGGGCTGTGCCTCTATTGCGGGGCCACGCGCGCAAAGCGTCACGTCTGCCGACACGGCCGGTTAGGTACAATTACCTGGGCCCGGCCATTGTCCCGGCGCGGCCGCCCCGATGGCCGGGCCGGCCGCCGCCGCCGCCGCCGCCGCCGCCACCGAGCGTTGACCGCGTCATCGCCGGACGTCACAGAGCTCGGACGCACGGCGCGCACGCACGCACGCACGCGCGTGTCAGGACGGCAGAGAGCGCGGCGGCCGGCCCGGCTCGCTGACCGGTGCCGGTCGATCAGTGTCGTGACGCGCTGAGCCAGCCCGCCGGCGAGACCGGCCGGTCGCAGGCCACGCCGTATCAGCCAGAGCACGCGCCAGCGCACATCGCTCGGGGTCCGGCCGGTCCCGTCCGACCCGCTCCGGAGCGGGTGTCACCAGCACCAGCACAGCAGTGGAAGCCATCCCGTTTTCCAAAATGTCATCACCTCAACCAGCACTTTCGCTGGAATTTATTGGGCCTTCACAGAGGGCAGTTTTGACAAAGTTGTCCGCGGGGCACGTCACCCGTTTCCCCACGCGGCCCCCAAAAACGACGCGGACGGGCCTTGTGCATCTATAGAGCATGGCATGCACACATTTGTCAACGGTATTACCTCCGTGACCCGTCAAAGTAACCACTGTTCATGGTTCCGTACATTTCAAACTGACCAAAAGTCCGGGGACAGACTCCCGACAGCCATACACACTTGATGACTTGACACACTTGACACAAGATGACTTAACATGAGTAACGCCCACTGAAGGACAATAGAGGGGAAAAGGCAGTCTCCAACTGCACCGCGGCCTCCCGTCTCCTAATGCGGAAGTTCCCAACGCAGACTGGGCGGTGAAGTGTGCCAGCCAGGCACGGACGCGCAGTAAGGAACCGAGCATAGGTACACGGAGGGAGACCAAGTATATCTGCGCAGAGGGGGACCGAGCATATCTGCCCAGAGGAAGACCGAGCAAAGCTGCCCTAGAATGGAGACCGAGCACAGCTGCCCAGAGGGAGACCGAGCATATCTGCCCAGAGGGAGAACCGAGCATATCTGCCCAGACAGAGAACGAGCAAAGCTGCCCAGAGGGACACCAAGCAAAGCTGCCCGGGGGGAGACAGACTGCATGTAGTTGCCCAGCGGGATACTGTGCAGCTGGACAGCGGGAAACAGAGCACAGTTGGGCGGCGGGAGACTGAGCACAGCTGGGCAGCGGGAAACCCAGCAGAGCTGGGCAGCGGGAAACCTAGCGCAGCTAGGGAGCAGGAGACCGAGCACAGCTGGGCAGCGGGAGACTGGGCACAACTGGGCAGCGGGAGACTACGCGCAGCTGGGCAGCGGGAAACCTAGCACAGCTGGGCAGCGGGAGACCGAGCACAGCTGGGCAGCGAGAGCCTAGCCGCTGCTGGGCGGGAACAGTGGACACGGCTGCACAGCTGAACAAGCCAAAACTAATCACGCCGGCCAAGTTCAACGTGTGCTCACCCAGGCGCCGGATCAGCAACGTTGACGTACCCAGCCCGCCGCCGGTCGGCAGACAGGAGGGCGGCGTCAGCCCGCTGTCGGCTGGTGCCGAGCGCGGCCGAGCCGGCACCGCCGTCCCCTCTATGGCGCCCGTCACCAGCCGTCCCCGCCGCGCCCCGTCACCAGCCGTCTCCTCTATGGCGCCCCGTCACCAGCCGTCCCCGCCGCGCCCCGTCACCAGCCGTTCCCCGCCGCGGCGCCTCGTCAGCCGTCCCTGCCGCGGCGGCGTTTCCGGTCGGTTCCGTCGCCACGCGCCGGCCCACGCCTGGCGCCTGGACGCCAGATGGCATAGAGACGCCCACAGCCGGCACGTGCGCGCCCCTGGACACAGCGCTATGACCACTCCACACAGGGGGGACAACTATAGCGTGCTCGTACTTTTTCTTTCGTTTGAGCTAGTGAACCGCAGCATTCGACGTAAGTCAAACAGACGCTTCCTGTTGATGCTCCCGCCAGACAAGGGAACGATGCCAGGCCTCTGGTTTCGAAATTGAATCCGGCACAAAGACCATTAAGTGTAGGCGAAGTCGAGCCAAACGCTGATTATTCCTAACGTTGGAGCTAAGAAGCCGAAGTAGACGTCAGTGTTTGAGAAACATGAACTTCAAACCGTAACCAGTGGCTCTGACCTTTGCACATTCCACGCCAAAGCCGGATTCAACAGCTTTGAGCCCAGAAACACGAAGGCAAAGACAAACACATGAGCTTAAAATGGCGCGCACAAAGCCGGTGCCCGTGAACAATGTTGTTCTGTGAAACAAAAAACATTTTTTAGTCCGCTCAAACCGTATGACACCAGGAAATATCATCAGGGTTCTTCCGGAGTGATTGAGGCGAGGTGTTAGCATTACGAACGGAATATTTGTCGGACTGTCGTTCCGGCGTCTCAGTATGTAAACAACGTTTCGGACGATTATTTCCCCGGCCATCGTCAGACGTTGAATAGTTCTGAGAATGACCGGCTGGTTGTTTTGCTTTCGCCATGTATACAAAAGAGGCAGCTTTGAAGTGTTGTGGAGCATTTAAGGGTGATAGCACGAGCAAGACTGTTTTTGTGAAGCACAATCGCGACTTCAGTGAAAAAAAATTATCATGACAGAGCCGAAGCCAGTATTTTAAAATCGTCTGGTCTCGAAGGCGTAGTCATAATCGAAAAAGCTAGAATACACAACAAGTTGTTGAAAATGAACAAAGGCCAAACCCAAATCCAAGCAACTATCTAAAATGACACAAAGGGGACACCAAAGCCGAAGCCGACCGTGAGAAATGGCTCACAGCCGACGCCGGGACCAAAGCCATTGAATGAAAACTGCGGCTTCGCGAAGCCGACGCCGAAGCCCGATCTCTGCACATCGCCACAGTTAATGTTGATCTTCCTTCACAACGGGGTGCGCAATACCCGGGCCCTGTGCCCTCAGCCTGTGGATGCTAGCATTCGCAACACATCGCGTAGTAAAGACGCCAAGCCAGACGCCGCACGCCGATCACATCATCCGTCTCAAAGCACCGAGAGTACTAGCAAATCCCACAGACGGTCAGTCCAGATGCCATCCGCCATCTGTTTTGCGCTGTCGGCGCAGCTGCGCAAAGCCTGCTCTGGCAGTCTGGCAGCGTCGATGCCTGGTGGCGGCGCACGCGTGGCACGTGGCACGCTCCGGCACCGCCGGACCGGAGCGCAGCGTCGCGCCCGGTGCCGCGCGACGCTGCCAGCCGGCACGGTCGTCGGGGAATGTGACACCGCCCGCCCCCGTGCGGCCGGCAGACCACCGGTCACACGGGGCTGGCCAGACCGGCTGCCGCACCCGCCCCGGAGCACGCCGCCAGGCTGGAGACGGCCGCCAACAGTGCACCCAGCAGGGACGGCGCGCGGCCGGGGGTCGGCGTCGGTTGGGGTCGGTCGGGGTCGGGGTCGGCCGGTGTGGAGATCCCGATCGCCCTCTGCCGACCGGCCCCAGCCGCCAAGCTGCATTCCGAGCATCGCCAGCCTTCCCGCTGCATAACAATGGGATTGCAGCCGCCGCGATAGGCGCCCGGGTTCGGCTCGCCCGTCATTAATGCCGGTATTAACATGCACCATACAGGGGATCCGTCAATAACCAGTGACGCCGTGGGCCGGCTGCGCCCGACCGCGCCGGGGTCGGAGGTCAGCCGCCCGGCGCGGGGTCAGCGTGCCGGGCGGAGGGCGCGGCGCCGCCGGTCAGCCGGCCTCTGTCCGCCGACGACGGCCGTCTGCCGTGGCATCGCGCTCAGACGGCGGCCGTGCCGGCGGCAGGGCGGCAGCCCCGCCAGGCGTCAAGCGTCCAGACGTGACGCCGGCACACGCCGGCCGGTGGCGCCCGAGCCCGAGCCGGCGCCGCGGTCGCACCTGCCGCTCCGGCGGCGGCGGGGCGGACGCGCCGGCGCAGGTCCGCGCACGTTCCCCGTCCGCCGGGCCGCCGGCGGAGGCCGCGCTGGAATGCGGCGGCTCTGACGCGGAGCCGGGACGTGTCCGTGCAGACGCCGCCACACCGGTGCCACTTGCCGACACGCGCCCTGCGGCCCGGACAACTTACGGACACGGCGCTCCGTGCCGCAGCCTGCCGC